TCCCAGTATTTTCCTCCTGGGGAGGGGAGGAGAGAGAGAGAGAGTGTGTTTGGGGGGTGGGGTTCACAGCCACTTGTTTCGTAAAAAGTTTAGAAAACTAGGAAAATCCCATATTTTTTCTGAACGACTTTACATGGTTAACAAAGTTTTCATACTACTCCGTAACTACTGTACTATTGTGAGTTCAAGTCTTGCGAACAGCTGAGGTGTAAATTAAAAAAAGTGTTTTTGTTGTCGAACTGAATACATCCTTTTCCCAATTTGGCATTAACGAAGTCTAAAACATTGAAACATGACAGGTAAGGTGGTCATTTTATTTTTTTGCGTGACATTTTGGCTTTCCGCTTTTACTTTAGCCTTCGTAACCAAATCAGTGATTAAATTCTTTTGCGAAATTGTTTTAAACATTCTGTTTCGAAATTGCCTCCAACAGTCACGAAATTTTATGTTTATAATTTTTATCCTTTTTTTCTCATGTAGAGGGAAAAAAAATTTAAACTAAGCAGAAGCTCAATATTGTTTTTATTCAACAAATCAGTGAAGATTTTTTTTCACGTGTTTTTAGTTTTCCCAACAATCTATTCTCAAAAAATAAAATAAGATTTAATCGTAAATTATAAATAAAAAATAAAATTAAAAAACATAGTTTACTTTAATGATGGACATGATTTTTTTTTTAATCTTATGAATTTTGAATAATTCACTTAAAGTAGATTAAAATTTTAATTAAGAAAAAAAGTTTTTGGACTTTTCATGGTTTTTGTTTTCTTTGACAAAGGATCGTCTTTCTTTAACTCGACAAAGATTTTTCAGAATCAATAATCGAATTTAGCAGTTTCTCCCATAGAAATCGTCATGTGACCGCTTGAGTGCGCTTTATTTTAATTTTTAAACAGTATGGACCAATGATGAAATCAACGATTTCCATACAAAAACACATTCATTGATCGAACAGAACCTGACAGTCGATTGAAATTTATAAAATCTTTCTCTTAAAAAAACATATTTTTCATTTCAGTAAAATAGTTTTCTGAAGTCCACTCTTCTTTTACGCATACTGGGAGTTTCTTCCTAAGTAGGTACCGCCACAAACAGCCTAGAAAGAACCCCGAAAACACAAACTAAAATAAGTTACCGCCACTGATTTAAAAAACAAAAACGGAAAGACGCACTTTAAATAAATGAAAATGCCTTGTTTTAACTTAGATTTCGGTTCTATTTGAAAGAATAGCCTCTCTAAAAAGGTAATCCAAATTAAAAGAAAAATTAATTTCCGTATATAAACATTTTAGGCATTTTTTTTAAAACCTTGATACGTTTTTTCGCATCGCCATTGTATACGAAAATAAAAATTTTAAATTCTCTTTAAAAAATCTAATATTTTTGTCATAGAGATGTGTTCCGAAGTCTAGTAAATTTGAAATTTAATTATCTGAATTTTCTTCAAAACGCTTTACTTACAACAGAACGAAAATAACGTTTTATTTACACGCGATAGTTTTTTTTTTTTTTAAAAAGGACAAGTAGAAACACTACCCCTGTCCAAAAAAGCGCGCGAAAAAATAAAAATAATAAAGAAATACGGAAGACCAATGCAGTAATCAAGAATGTGTTAATTATGTTTAAAAATAAATGATCTTTAATCTTCCAGTGGTTTAAGAATATAAATTTTTATTCTATACGCTTTTAGTTTTAGGAAACTTAAATAAATTTGAAGGCACTACTAGCAGAACAAAAATATTTGCGTTAAATTAATAATAGGAAAAGAAAAACATTTCTAGTAAATTTTAGAAAATTACAGTTGAGTTTGCTAATAAAAGCGTTTTTTCTGTCTTAACTCTGAAAATTTTCTTGATGAAGGGAAAAAATTTTGCAGGAAAGAAAAAAATCGATTTGTTTTTAAAATAAAAACTTACGTTTGAAGTAAAAATATTGGTAACGGCTTGTGCAACCGAGTATTATGATACAGCCCACTCCCACTTTATCTCAATTTTCATAAGGTAGTATTACTCATAAAATACAAATTTTATATTGTAAAAAACATAAACAGGTGCAGCGATTATTTTCTGTCTGAATTTTTGGAGTTAGGTGTTATTTATTTATAGTTTAGTACACTATTTGCACACATTTGTCCTCATCTTTGTTATCGTTATCACAACTTTTCAGAAACTTTGTAACAACAAAAAGGTGATGGCAAATAGTGTGTAAATAACGATTACTTTCATTTCGGGAAAAACAATCACCATTTTATTTGTACCTCCAACGTTGAGTAAAAAGTTAGCATATTTTTGAATCTTGATTATATCATTGTTTTCCCTTCTAGTTACAATGTGCTATCCATTTTAGTTGTTGTCGCTGTTGGAAATTTTCAAGGGATGTTGACTTAGGTATATCCCTAAAGAAAATCGATATCGAATGGTTAAAATGAATTTTTTAAAAATAAAAATGAATGATCTCGAAGCTTTTTTTTATTTTTTTATTTTAGTTTTAATTTCAAGCTAATTGATTAAATTTAATATTTTCCACGGGTAAAATAAGTTGCTCTATTTCAAAATGAATTTAAACTGATAGAAAGTTTTTTTTTTTTTTTTTAATCGATGATTTTAGCTATATTAACAATTCCTTCAACACAACGCAATTCTCTTTAAAAACATATTTAAAAAATAAAACATACTTTTCCGAAAACTTAGTTGAGGAAAATTAGCTGTTTAAAGTTTAATCAATGATTTGAAACAACTATTACTTTTAGTTTCTGTTTAAAATATTGTAGAAAAGCATTTTTTTTACACGTAGGTGGGTGTTTTATGAGGTGTTGTCGACAACTCTATTGACAGCCTGATGTTTGGGAAATTAAATCATTTTTTATACGGGGGACATATCTGAAAATTGACAGGAATATAACTGAGCACCTTTTTTATATATATATATATATAACTTTTTAACTACCTAATAGTATTAAAAAATTAGGAAAATGTTCCAAATAATCTAATGTTTTATTGAATTTTAAGTTCTTTGGCTTTAAATTTACTGTAGTTACCCCACGTATTTTCTGATATCGTGTGTGGACGTGCATATTTACAAAAATCGGTATTTTATTTATAAATTCTTTTAAAAATACTTTAATTAAAAAGATGTAAACAATTCTAGTAAAAATTAAGTATTCATCAGAAATTATTTTCTTAAGAGAATAGTGTCCATATTTTATTCATAAAAGCATTTCAAAGCTTTTCTAATTAAATGTCTTAAGTTTATTGTATTTTTTTTATTTTTGAATTCAGAGCAGAATTTCAATGATTAGGAGTCCTGTTTTAGAAAAAAAAAACATTTAAATTCTTTAAATTAAGCCCTACAAAAATGAATTTCTTGAAATTTCAGAAAAAAAAATTAAATTGGTGGTGATGAGGTAGTATGGAAAAAATGTTTTTTGCCAAGATATTCTTAAAAAAAGAAAAAAGAAACGTTGTTAAAATAAAATTCATTTATTTTAAGTCCTGAAAGTTTCATAAAAATCGGACAATTGATTTTTGCAAGAATTTCCAAATTAATGTATTTTTCACCGCAAAAAGATGAAGTTTCCTGTACTAATTTTTGGTCATCGGCAGTCGCAAGAAAAAATTTAACCAAAATTCTGAAGGTTGAAGTATTAAAAAATATAATTTGAATTTTGAATCATCAAAAACAAGAATTCTTTGGTCTTTTTTCATCTTAACAAAGATTTTGTTTGACGATAAAACTGTTTTTATTAAGTTTGGGGTATTTTTTTTTCGTAATATGCTCATTTTTTAGGGAATAATGATTTTTGTTATTTGATGAAGTTATTTGTGATTCTGTAGTGCCAGTCTAAGATCTGATGAAAGGTTTTCTTTTATTAGCTGAGGATTCATTCGCATGAAGAAGCCATGTTTATCTAAAAAAATCAAAAACAAAAAAAAACGGTTTTTTAGACATTTCTAAATTGAGTTGAGTATCCATATCATGCATGACATCCATAAAAAAAGTCTTCATCAGAGAAGGAACTATGGTTCTAGTTCTTAGGTTCAATGTTTTGGTTTACTTTTGTTGTAAGTAGCATCTTGTGATGTTGGACAAAGCTATCCCTTGTGCAGCCTGTTATTCTGTGTTCTGTTTTGTCGTAATCTTTTGGCCTAAATTAATTTAATTTATTTAAAACTGATTCATAATGCATTTGATATTTGAATAATAAATTTCAAGAAATTGTGCATACAAAACATTGCAAATTTTTTTTTTTTTTTAATGCCCCTCAATATTGATCTTTGTAAATTTTATTATCAACTGTTTCTCCGGAAAATGCTAAAACCATTTTTCATTTCATCATTTGTGATTGTGGGGGAGGGGGGAGAGACAGAGAGAATTAGGACAAAAAAAAATGCAATTTATCGTAAAATGTTTTTATTTAATTAATTTACTCGAAGTAGACACGTGTTCTTTTTAAAAATCCGTATTTGGCTCCATAAAAAATCTTCAGATCATGTATATTTATATTTTATTAATGTTTATCTTTTGATATTTGTTTCATCTTTCTTGATATCTGTAAATGAAAAGAAGTTATTTGTTTACTACTTTTCAATGTCATCTGTTATCTGTTATAGTTACTTTATTTTTGACACGTGGTTAGTTTAGTAGTGGGCGGAATCCGTGCATCCAATAAGAAGGCAGTTTTTCTTATTTATTTATTAATTAAATAATAAATAAATAGCACACGGCTCGAAATTGTATTACATCTAGGAAATGTCTGGCATCCTTGGATTTTCTGGGGCATGAAATTTAATTTCAGGCCCTTTTTGTCCGAAGAAGCGGTCCCCCAATTTCATACGACGGCTACTGTTTTTGTGTGCCTCAAGGCTAGTCTCAAGTCAAAAAATAGAATTCACCACCGTCACACCACACTAATTTACAACACTTTTTGCCTTGTTTATTTTAAATCCGGATTAAATTACACGCCATAAGAAGTTGCAAATTCAGCAGATGTTTTCAAAAATATGTTATATCGTCTTTTTAGTTTTAGTAAGTCACTTGAAAAAGAAAATGTTTTTAGTTTAAGAAAATGAAAATTATTTCGTACTTATTGTTTTAAAAATCCACTTCTCAGCAAACATTTTGTATTATTGTGTTGCTGCGAAACATCGTGGAGGTAAGATAACTTTTTTTTTTGTTAATTCTAGCATTTTTTTTTTTTTTTTTTTAATTTAATTTAATTTTTTTTCTTTTTTATTTTAAAAGTTTTAGATGAGGGAGCATCTATTTAAAAAGTGGTAGTGATGATTAATTTGAATTGGTAATAACTTCAGTTTTTGTTGAGAAAGTTTTGTTTTGACTGAATGTAGGACAATAATGGCAACATATTTTTAAAAGCTATTTTTTAGCGGGACGGGAAAAGCGTGATATATCGATGGTAAACAATATCCCCACATATTGTTTATTTTATTTTTTTTTTACTAAAACAAAAAACTAAAAGATAATTTCGCGGGCATCTAGGTTTACTTTATAAAAAAAAAAACTATAATCGTAGTATTAAAGTTTAAAAATACTACGATTATTGTTTTTTTTTTAATTCGGGAAACTGGTTTAAACCACGTGGTATCAGTGAAGACTGAAGAAGACTATTATTTTGAAATTGTGTGATTCTAAAAAGATGTTTGTCTATTTTAATTGCTTATATACACGTGGACATTCTAAAAAAAAAATCCTCGGTTCGAATCATCGGCGCTATTACACTTTCTCCCCCGCCCCCCCGGGCCATATTTTTTCCGCGTGTATTTTATTTTTTCTGGTTACTTTTTCCTGTTCCTTATTTTCACAACGGATAAAGTTCAGTGGCAATGTGATGCCAGAAGTTGAAAAAAAGCGAATCACTAAGCCTTTGAGCCCACATAAATTCCGCCAGGTCAGAAATCATACCCCTGTTGGTGGGGCCATTTGTGGCTTTAAATTTACCCTGGACATCCTGCTACATTGCTTCAACTCGATTCGTGATGAATCCAATGTTAGGATCCACAAAGTTCTGAGTGTGGTTGACAGTAGTATCATTTTTGACTTTTGAACTCATTGTTTATCAAACCGTTGCATCAGACCAGCAGACTGTCGTGCCTAGGGTAACCCATTGCTGAATGATAGGAAGCAACGGGAAGTGGGGGTCGAAAGTGTGATAGCACCTCAAAATCTAACTGAACATAATAATTTTATTTTTGAATTGCCTTGATTAGACACACAACTTTTCAGCATGTGTATGTGTACATTTGTATGGTGAGCGCTTAAGGTTTCTGAGTGACTGAAAAAGCTCATCGCCACAAATAAGATTTTTTAGGGGTTACATTTTTGAAAGATAATCTTATATTGTTTTTGTGTGTAGTGTACCTAGCTGTGTTATATTTGATTTTTAAAAAATCACTTTAAACTTTAAAAAAATACTAAAAACTAATTAGGAATGGGATGTTGTTACTCAATCATTGTAAGAGTATTGATTGATTTACTTGTTTGTTTGTTTTTCCCGGGACCTATTTTCACATTTTTGATTCGACGTGTTTCAAAAATCAAAACTCAACATTCACAATAGACACTAAGGCTAAGTGGTTACCCGCCTAAATTCCGTGAGAAAACGAACAAAAACGGTAAAATTAGTTCGAAGAAAATGACAATAAAACATCCCTTCGAGCAAATATCAGACAAAAGATGTTACTCACTTTCATGTCAGTCGGAATGAAAATTAGTTTTTGCATAAAAAGAAAAAATATGAGGTATTTGTTGAGTTGACCAAACAATATTTTGAAAGAAAACACAACAGTGATTAGTTATTAGTAGAAGTAATTTTATCATGCTTGTAAAATTGTACTTGATTCTTTCATTGTAAATCAAATCGGAAGGGAAAGAAACACATGACCTTTATTGTCAGCGATCAATTTACGCAGGGCCCAAGGATAAAAGCTGCCTCTCAAGCGCTTTGTCCTTAAAACGTCGTTCCGAGGGTAACAGTCAGTTCTAACAAGTGGTATCCGGGATGCGTGATTTCTTACAAAGACTTGCATTGTCTTCTGTTTTGTTGCAATATAAACCAGTGTTATAAATAAATGTCTTTGCTCTTTAGTCTTTTCTAATAAAAAAAAACACCTGAATAAAAAACATCATTAAAAATTTAAGATATCGACAATCTTAGTTGGGTCTTTTTGTGTGTGTGTTTCGGCAACAGCCCGGCTGACATTTGGTCTTTCCTCTTAGTCTTCTTAATAATAACAAACATTTTGACTTTAAAAAAAAAAAATTTTTTATTAAGTTTGTGGCCTTTTTCAGCGTAAAAGTGGAGGTACATAAAAAAAAAGGTGATTTTTCATTTTAACACCCGAGCGCTAATATCCCTTCAAATTTTTCCAAAATAGTCTTATTTCCGTGCAAATGTATATACTGAACTCAAATCAACATTAAATATCGGACTTTTTCCTGGTCTTTCGCCAGCCATTACCGGCTTTTTTTTTTAAGATGAAAGTTAACTTTCTAATTAGGGTCAGGTGTGTTTTTTTTTTTTTTTTTTTTTTTTTTTTGGTTATTCTTTCATTTTTTTCATTTTTTTTTTTAAGAAGAAAGTTAACTTTCAAATTAGGGTTAAGTGTTTTTTTTCTTTTGTTATTTTTTTATTTGTCGATGTTTACATAAAAGTTAACTTTATTCTTAAATTAAGTACAAAAAAATCGCTTTATGGAAGCGCATACTAATTTCTGAATGAAAATAGTTCAGCAGTAAATGACGCTCGGGTGTTAAAATGAAAATTTACCAAAAAAAAATGCATGATTATTATTTAAAAATAGCATTAAAAATTCGCTGAAATCTTCCACTCAGATTCTTGCTTGTCTGAGGCGGCCAAGAAGCTGTACCTGGGACCCAAATAAGATTGTCTACCCTCCTAGAAGGTGGACTTCCGTAGTTTTTATTGCTATTTTTGTAATAATCACGCTTTTTTATGTACCTCCAATTTTACGCTGAAAAAGATTCCAAATTTAATAAAAAGAAAGTTCTAAAGTCAAAATGTTTGTTATTAAGAGGAAAAACCAAATGTTGTCCGGACTGTAGCCGAGACACAAAATTAAAAATAACACTCAACTAATTGCCCATAATTTTTTAAAATTTAAATTTTTTTTTTTTTTTTTTTTTTTTTTGAATATTCAGGCTTTTTACTCCAGAAATGATGCTTCTTTTTATAATTGTTTTCTGGGTCCTATACCTCGTCATTATTATTGTTAATGTTATATTTTTGTCATCAGAAAGAGAAAAACTATTTTTGTTTATTGGTCATAGCAAACATTTTTAAGTAACAAACCTTCTGGTCACAATGGAAAGAACACTTAAAAGAAATTTTTTGTTCACAAGTAATATAAAATATTTTTTAAATTTGTTTTTTCCAATTTTTTAAAAAATTTGATTAATTTTTTTAAAATTTAACAGTAATAAATCTTTTTAAATGACTTTAATGAGTCCTTCAGTTTATAGTGGTGAAAAACCTAATTTACTTATAAATAAATAGATTCCAGTGAATAACAAATAGCAAAAAAGAAAAAAAAGATCAGCAACTTTATGTATCTGTATTTTTCATCATATTTAGTTTATTTCTTCAACATAGAATTCTGAATTTATTAAAATATGCAAAAATTCTGTAAAAAACGACGTGAATAACCCTAAAATGGAAATTAGATAGTCATAGATGTTAAGTAAGAATTGTACAAGTTAAAAATAAATAAATACAATGATTTAAGGGTGTAATGAAGTGAAAAATAAAATGAAGTAAAATTTTATATGTTTTGTTTTGTTTTTTAAATTACGTTTATACAGTGTAACCCGGATATAAGAGAGTTGTCGGGACCGGAGAAGTCTCTTATATCCGGGTTTCTCTTATATCAGGGTTTGGTCAATTTTATATACATTAACACAGGCTCTAATTTGGGACCAGAGAAAATCTCTCTTATATCCGGGTTTCTCATATCCGGGTTACACTGTATAATAAAATAAGTATAAAACATTTTAAAATCTAATAACTGAATTTTGGTAGATTTTTAATTAAAAAAAAAAAAAAAAATGTTTGTTTTTTTTTTCAAATATAATATATATACAAAAAATATTCTCACATAAGGACTTGTTTTTTATCACACGAAAAGGTACAATGATTTTGAAAATAAAATTAACATTTGTACAAGTTTGAATTGTTCTTAGAAGATGTCAGTTTTTTGTTTGAGTTTTTTTTTTTTTTTTTTTTTTTCAATGATTCTGATTTTGTGGGTTTGATTTCTTGGAGTTTCAGTTTTAAAAAATATGGAAATTATTTTCTATAAATTTGAATTTTCAGAGATTTGAATTGTATGCGTCGTAGTACCCCACGACCTATCATCAATAATGGGGCAGGGGACATTATTGAATGATCTCCATTCCAACAATTAACTTAAAAATCATTTATATATTTTTTTCTTTTACAATCATAAATTAGTTACAGAGATTAACAACAAAAACAACTAATAATAAAATAAAACAATTCTAAGAATATGTTGTAAAAAAACGGTTGGCAAAATGATTCATTCTTTTTACTGTAGAAGTGTACGATTTTTTTTCATTGCGAATTTTTAATTTTTCACTTTAAGAACTTTACAGTCACTCTCTTTGGCATATTTGAATTACCAGCCTCATTACTCTTGCGCCTGGGAGGGAATTATTATTTTACTTATTTATTTATTTATTTTCTAAACTTATTTCGGATATTGATCATTACAAAGAAATCACTTATAAGAGGGAGATAACTCTAATTTAGGCAAGTTTTAAAAACTTTTGCCATTAATTGATCTCAATTTGTTTTCTTATTTTTCAGCCACATTAACATATGGATTGATTTCCACACCGGGAATTCCCCAACAAAACGACCAAGAATTATTTGTCTTGGACAAGCATCTTTTACCAGACATAAAGTTTTCCTTAAATCCAATGGCTAAAGAATTTAAGCCGACTGCTTGTAGACAATTCTCTCAAAATGATTATTCTGCTGTGGTCAGTGCACCTACAAAAATGCGCCCTAGTGCATTCAAACGTTTTCCTCCCCCATCCAGTGCAGATGGCAAACTCTTGTCACAAATTGCAGAAATCTTAAAAAATGACAAATTGTTGATACTGATGCGAGGTTGTCCAGGAAGTGGGAAAACAACTTTAGCTGAGTAAGTGATTATAATTAATATTCTGCTTTTATAATATTGCCTTTATCATTCCTGCTAATAGTTGATGAGTATTAAAGCAACCTCTATCTTTCGGTAGCAGTCTCTCTAAGAGAAGAATTACTCAGGAAACCACTCTAATTTATGTAATATATATTTTAAATAAAAGGAAGTTTTTAATTTAACCATTTTCTTTTAATTTTTTTAAAATTTTATAGTCATGTTGGGGAAGGAGTAATTCTTTCAGGAATAGAGATATTTGAAAAACTAACAAACATTATTACTTGTTTTTAAATACTTGTTGCAAAATAAAAATCCTTAGCCTTGATAAAGTCCAACAGAAGATGAAACATGTCAGCTAAGATAAGTTTTCCTTTTGTCATTATTCACATACACACACACCCTTGTGCAAATTAATTGAAATGAAACAAATAATTCCATTATTGTTTTTTTGTATTTTTGCAATGAAACATGACCCAGTGCATATATTAGTACTCTGTATGTCAATTCCACAAAATCATTCCTTGCAGATTGACCACAGATTCTCAATTGGATTTAAATCAGGAAAGTCTCTGGGCCAGTCTAATACTTTGATTTGCTCACTGGTAAAGATTGCCGTGTGTTCATGCAGTTACAAATGTTTGTACGTTTCCTTGGAGTAATATCCATCACAGACAATGGGCGTAGGACAGCTAATCGACAGTTGGGACAATAGTGTATGGGCGTAATAAAAAACTTGTGAAAATACAGATGGTGCAATATTTTTCAAGGCCAAACAAATTTCATCTTACACCCCAAAAATAAATTCATATTACTGCACACCACTGCAAATGACCTAATCTGAGGAAAAAATAGAAATCCATTACACCCTGTCACTCCAGTGGGTCTAAAACTGACCATGAAAGAAAGGAAACTAAAGTTTTTTTTTTTTTTCAATTAATTTACACAAGGGTGTGTGTGTATGTATTTATGTGTGTATGTGTATATATATATTTTCCAAACAATAAAATTGACAATTTTCTCTAGGGTCTACTATATTTTATGGTTTCTTATTTTAAAGGAGCCATCTATGCATGGAATAATCGTTAGCAAGGCTAGTCTAGTTGACCTTTACGACTAAGTTGTGAGTTCAGTTCTCACTGGGTGCTCTAAACAACAGTTGATACTAATTAATCCAACAAGTGTTGACATGTAAAATCAGTCAACCTGACCTAAAAACATTTTCAAAATAATTTGCAAATCCTTTCCAGATACTTTCTGTCTGAATTTCTGTGATAAACAGTTATTATTTACACTATTTATATTCAGACTGTTGTCCTCATCTTTGTTGTTATCACAACATTTTGGCTGCTGTGACCTTTGGCCTTCCTCAGGTATATATCAATCTGGGTAATCTACAGGGGTTGACTGTTCTTGTTCCACTGCCCACGTCTAGGGATATCATCTAGTTCTTATTTTTAGTACTGCTCAGATGTTTTTGTAAGAGATAATGGCTGGTGAGACTACTTTGGTCAACCATTAGTGAGTTTGGTCCTCACTGGATGCCCTATGCAGCACTTGGCAGTAAATAAGCCAACAGGGTTTGGCGTGTTCAATCAATCAACTTGTAATGCCTAAAACGAAAAATAGTATTTAACTTTTGCCGTCTGTGTTGATTTACTTCAAATATGACTAGCGATTGAAGCAGTTAACATTTTGTAAAGAGACATTTACTGATTCAGGATAAATTTGCAGATAAAATTATTAAAAATTTTTTTGTTTTTCTTAATTTTTGCATGTCATGGGGTAAAACTAAAAAAAAATTAAAAAAACTTGTCTTTATAAGCAAACAAAATATTTAGTATAATTCAAAAGTTGGGCCTTAAATGTCCAAGAAGTTTTTTAAGCTGTAATCTATCTTTAAAATGATATAATTTTTAGGAAGTAATGTAGATGTTTTTTAATACAAGGCAATGTCTTTTCGCAGATATCTTGTCTGAAATATCTTTGCTTTACAAAAAGTTTGTGAAAAAGATATTGCTCTAACAATAGAAAAGGTTTTGGTTAATGAAGTATGAAATCAAAGAACCTGGAAGTAATTGAATAATATATATGAGAGAGAGAGAGGGGGGTTTAATATATATGAGAGAGAGAGGGGTTTAATATATATGAGAGAGAGAGGTATTGAAATGTTTAAAATCTTTAAACTAATTTTGTGATTTGAAAGAAAAAAGAAATTAACTTTTTTGTTGAAATTTGTTTACAATTTTCCTTCAGATGCAAAAGTTATTTTTTCTGTTCTTTTTTTTTTTTATTATTTTTTATTTTGTTACAAAACAAAAATTGAATAATGTTCTTTTATTTATTTCCAGGAAAATTTACAGTTCTCTTGAAAAGGACAAGACTGGTGTTATTCTATCCACAGATAATTATTTCAATATGAATGGCAGTCACTATCAGTATGATTCGACTAAATTGCCTGGGGCTCATGCCTGGAATAAAAGTCAAGGTACTAAAGTTATTTTAAAGTAATACAGATGCAGGAATGTAAATTAGAATAGACTCCCTTGTTTAGTTTTCAGGTTCATTAAAGTGAAATGTGCACAAGGTTGAAAATGAAGCCTATTTCTTTAAAATTTTTGCCAGCTAATGAGTGAAAATTGAAAAAAAAATTTGGTCATCTGATTTAAATAAGAAGGATTTTGCTTTAAATTTTGTTTGACACTTAAATAAGAGTTTGATTTGCCATTCACTTACATTTATTCTTTCATGTGACAAAATATCAAGTCGACATTTTTAAATTTATATTTTTAGAAAATATCTTGTTTTTTTTTTCAGTATGGAGATATCTTTTAATCCATATCCGCTTCATGTCAGTTTAAACTGATTGCTTCATTAGTTTTGATCCTCAAAACTAAGATTAAAATATTCTAATTCATAACACTTAAGGAGAAGAGAACTTTCTCTAATTCTCATGAATGTTTGGTTTAAACATAACGTTTTAAGCTTTTATAATTTTCTTTTTTTTTTCCATGTGAATATATCAAACTGCTGTAGTTTAAACTGTGGAAATGTGTCAAAATGGTGTCATTTTCTTCAGTTTCAAATTTTGATATCTCAATTACTTTCTATGCTATTTTGATAAGATTAGTATCTAAACAAAATTTAATCTATTTTCCTTATAAAGATTAAAATTATTTCTTGTTTCTGATTATTAGTTTTTATTCCATGTCTCTTTAAATTATGTCATTATTTCAATGATGCCCATTTCTTTTTCCACATTTTCAAAGCTGACAATTTCATAATGTTGATTTTAAAACTTGTGTTTCAAGTTATGTGTCTTTAGACATCAAAATAGTCTAATCTTAAAAAGAAAAGGGTGCTCATCAGTTTGGGTGGGTTAAGCTAAAGTTTTAAGTGGAAAACTTTAATGGATGAAATACCAAAGAAATTCAACTCTTTAAAAAATGAAAATTGCACTTTCTTGTTAAGCAATAATCAATTGGTTTCATATATCTGCACCCATACGGCTTGATGCACACTCAAAGCAAAAAAGGGTATATTGTGTTTGATGCATCAGAATTTGTATTGCTGACCAAATGAATGAACACTGCCAACTGAACAACATTTTAAATCAGACTTGTTTCATTGATAGATATTACAGTTTAATTTTTTTTCTTGCATTTTCTTTAATGATACATTTTAAAACTGTATAAAGTACTTATTCATTGTATTTTATCAAAACTCACGCTCAAAAAACTTTCACCTCGGCTGTTGTTTTTATGCACTTAACATACAAAACCACATTAAACAAAATTCATATTACATATAAAAAAGTAAATATATAAACTGGACTAGCTTAAAAGCTAGCTCTTGCAAAGGGCTCTTGATTGGCCCTTCATCACAATAGGTAGGGAGGAGCAGATGCAATAGGCAACAATAAATTACAGAAAAACTCAAAATTGATTGCTGCATTTCAGTATTGCATTAATATTTAAGTTTACATTTTAAAAGTTCAACAATAATTCTTCTGCTGCCACTTAATTAAATTTGATGGACATAGGTCCTTACTTTCTATAGAAACAATTATTTTTATTTCATGAGTGGCTTTCACTGGATTTCACAATTAATTTCGATTATTGCCAAATTTATTTCCAAGTTATAAAAATTGTTATTGTACAAAAAAATTTGTCGCAAAAAATCATGTAAAAAAATCGCCAAAAACAGTTGTAGTAATGAAAACTTGGGAATCTAAAATTTCAGGATTTCAGGTCCGGATCCGACCTGGAATGTTTTTTAATTTTCTCACAGAGTCAGCCTGATTCCAAAATGGTATGATATATTGGGCTCTAAGAGTAAATCTGAAAAAGTATGACACACTGACATTTGCATTTATTATATAGATTTATTTTTAGTTATTTCAATTTCCCACTCATGTTTGTCCATAAAAAATTTAAGATAAAAGTGTCCAGTTTTTCTTTTAATGATTGTTCATTTCATTTACATTCGTAACTGGTAATATTTTTTCTAAATCTCAGGATTTAATTGAAAATTTGTTTTTCTTTTCAAAAATTGAAACTGGATACTTAAGAAAATTAAATGAAAATTGAACTAGATAAAGCTTAACTTTGGTGAATGGTTCCATAAAAAATTGAAATGTAATTAGCTACATTTAATCTTCTGTTCAGTGGATGATGAACTCCATGCTCTGAGAAGTAGTTTTCTTCTAAGTGGGATAAGTCTTTAGATGGGACGTTGATATAATACCGCTTTCAAGAGATGATAGTATATGGAATGTTCCAGGTATATTGCTTATAGCAGAGGCTTATTTATGAACAAAAATGATTTTTCTTGCTATTTTTTTTGAATGATTATTTTTTTTTTTTTTTTTAATGAATTTGCTTTTCCAAATTTTATCCATCTTCTTATTTAAAACGCAAAATATTTTTTTTTTATTTTAATTTTCTCTCAACAGATTGCAACATCTATCAGAGAGATGAAATTTAAATTTTTTTATTGCATTATTCCAAAATTTTAACAGATACCTATTAATGTCAGCAACTGAGCACAAATAGTTATTAATTAAAAAAATTGAAGTATGTATGTATAGCTGGCCACTCGTATTCGAGGATACCCGACTACTAGGGCGGCTAGCCAATCCCCATTGCAGATGCTTGCTCAGGCACATTTATATTTATTCAACACCCACAGAGCCCATCTGTGGTTTATACTGCAACTATGCTGAGCAGACCTTAGTTACAGTTTCTGGGAAAGAGCATGTTAGCTAGCATGATCAACAATTTGAACAAGGCCAGCACACTCAAGCCCTCGGCCATGATGACTTGTGACTTTGTGCTAGCACAGCTATCGACAGCCCCCAAGGAATTTGTCTATCCAATTTCACTCACAAGGCATGGTTTTCAGGCACTTTTTAAAGGTGCCACATATTGGGATCGACCCCTCCGTTCAACCATGGTGAGATTCAAACCTGGGTCTCATGGTCAGAATGTGAACATTCTAACCACTCGGCCATGTGCCCATCATACTGTATAATATTATTCATGTGTTGTTTTTAATAAAAGGTTAAAAATAACCATAAATAGGCAAAAAATGCATATATTTAGAAAAATACATTTTCCCACAATATAGCTATTTGTGCTATGTTATAATGCTTATTACCTAAACAATAATAATATTGAATAATTTTTTTTTTAAACATTAAAGTATATTTAATCATATCTCCCTAATAGCTGTCGCAATCCATAAATGAATCAATGACAACCATTTATTGTTAATTTTCAGTCATATTTATTTAATATCTTAATTTTTTTAGTTGCTTTTTATCACAAATTAATAGTGAAATCAAATATGAACCAAAATCACCACTATTTGCTGGCATAGAAAGACAGAGGCATATCCAGGAAGAAAGTTGTTAGTATATATTTAGTATATAATGTTTAAAACAGATTAAAAGTACATTACTATCCATTACAAAATCCTTTAGCGCTAACAAAAAACGTTACTGTATATAAAAAGCAAGCCAACCACGTAGCAAGAAATCCCAATAACGAAAATATCCTACATAGCAGAAATAAAATATTGCAAAAGAAAATAATACATAAAACATTTTCTAGGAAGCAAGCTATCCCTAATGTTGAAGAGGACATGTACATTGTGTAATAGCAGATAGAAATGAGAAGGTGGAGAACCCAGTTTGAGTTCCATTCAGATTTTGTTACATTTAGTTATGCTCAAACACCTCTGGATAAAGTATCAATCAATCTCCTCCTCACAGCTATGGGCAGTAGTGTGCAGAAGGGGGGAGAGTAGAAGGTGCAACAGCCTGGGCATCCAATCAAAGAGGGAAATAAAAATTTAGTTTCAATTTAATTTGAATAAAGTGTTTATTTCAAGTTTCATTTGTTTTTACATATTTAAAATGTCTTTCTTTTTCACATTTCTCAGTATTATGCTCTATCAGCCCCACTACTTGAGTCTTAGGGATAAGCAATCAAGGAGTTATCCCTGGGCATCATCAAACCTCTGCACATTACTGGCTATGGATTATGACTTGTATATGGAAAAATCATTGTTATTTTTTTAAATATATTAATGCAATATTTACTCAGAAAAAATAATTATTCTTATAGTCAAAAATGTTTAACTTTAAGCAATGCACAAAGAACTGATAAATTGTAAAAATAAAATAATTAGTCAAATCAATCTACAGTTGAAGATAAACCAAATCAGTTTTATTATTATCAATATTTCCTTTCAGTTATATATCTTCTGTATTTTCTAGCTGGTTAATGATAGAAGTGTGTTGGGGCATATTTAGTTAGGATGGATCAGCTATTACTAGCAAACATTGCTGGTACTTTGAGGTGATAATTCCTTTTACAGTAGTAGTAATAATGATTCTGTTTGAGCAAATAGTTTGGATAGGTAGAATGATTAAGTAAAATTATAATCTACAGTAGCAATTGTTATTGTTTGGGATAAAATTGACCTATAGGAGGCCTCAACTTTGCTAAAAAGATGCTGGGTGAATTTTTTTTTTCTTGTGGTGTGTATCTTAGATACTGCTAAGTACAGTAATAATGATAAATATTTCAGCATCTAATAAAACAAAAATAATTAAATAATAAATAGCTGGCTCATTAGGATTTATTTATTTTATCTCACTGATAGCAATATTGTGGAATGGAGGGATGAGTTATAAGTTACATTTGATCTTCAGAGTAGTTCTCAAGTTTTTGTAGTTTAGAAGTTAAAGGAATTTAGCATTTATCAGGTTTTCCTGTGACAAGATGGATGTGAATTTGAACTTCATTAACAGCTTATTCATTCTTTCTGGTCTTGCACAGATTACACACTGATTGATAGTTTGTGTAAAGTTGTGATAAAAAGCAACTAAAAAGTTAAGTTGAAAGTAAATGATTAGGTATGATTTCTTTCATTTATTGTGAAGCTCATTTAAAAAAACTTTTTCTTTATTTTTTTTCCCATATTTAAAATTTTGAAGATTTTTTTCATAGTTGAGATAGTTTGAAATAAAAAAAAAAATAATTGTTAAATGCTGTATAAATGTTTGGAAATTTTCTATTATTTTTGTAATTTAAGTTTTTCTCCTAAATCATGTGTAATATTTTTCCAGCTTACACAGCTATGACTGAAAACATAGATTTGATTATTATTGATAACACTAATGTTACAAAATGGGAAATGGCACCTTATGTAAAACTGGTAAGTTCTCAAAACTTTTTTAATATTGGTAAAAGAAAATATCATATCCATGTCTTTACATATAACTTTATACAAACTGCTATAGGGTAAATTTGAATTTTACATGATTTCATGCATATACTGATGAAATGCCGTCATGCTCATCATATGGAATGATGCTTGGTGTTTTAGAGGCAAAATATTATCACTAATCCTGGACACTGCAGCAATATTTCACAATGCTTCCAGACTTTGTCAGCTTTTTTTTTTTTATGGCTTCAAGCATGATTGCAACAGGGGAGGTAATTTCTGCTTTACTCAGCCGCTTTATGACCTATTTCTAGAATTTTAAAAAATATTTTGAGATTGAAATAGTAATAAAGCCATTTCAATGAAAAATGTTCATGTGTATTAATTATATCATTAGTCATTTTCTTTGCATTTTAAATTCTTTATATTATTCTAAACTTTTTCAGCGTGTACACACACATGTTTGAGAGGATGAATCAACTGAATTTTGATCTGAAATTTTCACAGTATAACGTTAAATCTATAGGATTAATATTCATCACTGGAATAAGTGCATGAGCAAGAAATGTGATTGTTAAAAAATATTTGTATCAAATGTTTTTTTCATTATGTTGTGAATTTATTGATCTACCTTTATATACAGTGTGCGATGGATAAATTACCCTCTAAATTAACACAAAAATGAAAATAACACTGACATTTCATTTTAACAGATATATTTATCAAAATTACACAAAAATATCTTAAAATACTAAAGAGTAAATTTATTCAATAAAAACGCCATTGGCTTCAATTATGCCCTCCAGACGACTTTGGAATCTGCAACTCTTCTGGACAGTATCCTTGTTTAAGTTGGGGAATGCTGCCTTCAGTTCATCTTTGGTGTTACAAGGAGTTTTGTTGGTCTCTCACTCAACTACACCCCACACATATTAAACAAGGGTATTTGCAGTCTGGTGAGTTAGGTGGCCATATGTAAGGTGTGATGTGGTTGTAGAAATTATCTGACAACTATGAATGGGTTCTCCTGTTTGTGTGACATGATGCAGAGTCCTGTTGCCAGACATAGGGTCTTCCAGCAGCCACCCTCTTGACCCAGGGAAGCACTGCTTCCTCAAGGCACTTGATTTAGGTTTCTGTATTGAGTTTGAGGCCCTGTGGGAAGATGATTGGAGGTATAATATCGGGATCACTCCAAACACCTTCATAATCACCATTAGACTCCTCCAACTCTTTCTGAATTTTCTGCACTGTCCACAGATTGACACCTAAACACGCTGAAATGTTCATATTGGAGCTTCCAGCATGAATGCCAAGCAGTACAGCAGGCCACTTCCAAATTTCTAGCATAGTGAATTGTGTCATGGTTCTCTTTTTCTCATAGACAGTGCCTAACTGACCCTGTTATACTGTGTAGTCGAGAAAATCAAAATCAATGCACATGTGCAAAATTAAAAATATAAAATGGTGACAATTTATCCATAGCACCCTGTATACAAGCAAGTTCATCCTTTAGCTAGGTTGAAATAATAAGGGATTAACACATAAGAAATGCTTTATCTTCTAATCATGTGTTAATTATTATACACCTTTTCAATAATTATCAAAAATCATGCAACAAATTTACACTTGTTCAATGTACAATACAATTTTAAAATGCTATTTTGTTTATATTCTGTTTATTTCTTTCTTCATTCATATCTATGCAGCCTTTTATATATTTGTGTGTGCATTCTCTCTCTCTATTCAGCACTTGAAGATTGCATTGTACATGAATAGCTATACTTAATAGCTCTGTTATTGAGCACCATTTTAGTAACAACAATGACATAGATTTATACATACATACATACATATATATATTCTTGACTCTCCCGTCAAATTCAACGTACGAAGGTCAAGCAGATCAGTTCCTAAGAACCGACAGCTTGGCACCAGCACATGAGATTTGATTATAGTGGTGATGGTTTTGTGCAGAACCATCCACACTTTTTGAAGGGCTGAATACAGAGACCTGCTGCACTGCATGCCACAAGGTCCCTAAATGACCCTCTGCAGGTTTTGAATTCAGAGTTGTCTTTCTCCTAGATCAGTTGCCATCCAAGGCTATAGAACCCGGTCTGTCCTGCTATTTACTCATAACTGGAGGGAGAAAAGGATAGCAGCTTGGTTTGAGGAATCGGAGAGCCGAGTTCGAATTCCAGTCGAATCCATTACATTCACTTATATGCTAATACCCTTGGGAAAGGTATGAATCCACATATATGAATGAAATAATAACTAATAGGAGGGTGTAAAAATGGAAGTAAAACCTCTTTATAATATTTTGATTATTTTAACTCTGTATTTCTTTTTAAATCCAGGCTTATGAAAAGCATTACAAGGTGGAACTTGTTGAACCCAACACACGTTGGAAATTTAAGGCAAGAAAGCTTGTAGAGTAAGTTATACATCTTTTTAATTTATTTTTAATCAATTTTGTTTTGTTTTTTTTTATTATTAAATATTTTTATTTCTGATTTTGTCTTGATTTGTTTTGTAAGTTTTCTTTTAGTACATTAAAAAAAAATCTTTCTTGGGTATGGAAGATTTAACTTGAGATGAAAAAACAAAACTCCTGGAGAGGGATCTTGATTAATTTATTTGTTGATAGGTGTCCATCTAAAAATTGTATGACTATTACACACTAGTACTTAGTTTTGTATTACTACAGTTCACAATCCTCAAGTGATTTGAATATATTGTAAAACTTGCATGACTTAAACTAAGAAATATTAATTCAGTGCTAGAAAATCTGATTGTTTTGCCTTATAATTGGGAATCGTGTTTACTTAAAGTTATGATTGTTTCACTTTAAAGAAGTAGAATCCCTGACAACCGGACTAAGAAGTCCTTCCAGATATGAGGAATTGGTTATAAAGTCAGGATGTGAGGGGTAGTATTTAGGTTAAAATAAAAGAACTGAAATCAGGTTTAACATTTATTTTCAATGTTGTATAGTAAACAAAATAAGCTAATGGTGAGTGAAATATAACAGAATTGTTTTTAAGGAAAAAGCAATAAATTATGTAATGTTAATGAAAATTCATTAAATTAAGTATGCCACATAAGCAAAATAAATAATGTAACAAGGATTTTTTTAATCACTGTTGCATGATTCTTTCTCTTCTAATGTAATTCTCAACTTTTTCTGCATTTCGTTTTTGAAATTTTTTAAATGAAAGACACTTTTCAACTCTGCATGCATTATTGCAACCGTCATAGCTGAATGCTGGCTTTCTTTCCATAAAACTGACAATCTTTTCAGTAGATTTTTCAATTTCAGTCCAGGTTTCATCACAGTCATGTTTTTTTATTTCCCTGTTCATTTTCTTTAGAAGATTTTATATCATACAATGTTGACATTCCTATGTAGAACTCAGCCATTAGTTACAATGAACTTTCACCAGCATCTAATCTGTTTAAAATTTCCACTTTTTGCAATAATTCCAAAGTTGTTCTTTTCCTCTTATTCCCATCATTTTTTGTACCAATACAAACAATTAGAGTGAAAGAAGCATAAGCAATTACCCAAAGTAAATTTCCTGAAAAACAGAAATTTCAAATCCATTACATATCACCCAAATAGTTCAAATATACAGATCAAAATCATGTCCGGAAATGTGGGATTCCAGATACAAGGCACTCTGGATATGTGGAATTCTGGACACAAGGGATTCTACTGTAATGATTTCTCTTATGCTCAAACCTGAAAAACAAACTTTTATTTATGCTAGTTTTATTGGGTTAATTTTATCTATCTGAAAATATCACAATTCCTTATTGTTAAAACTACTTTCAATATTGTAGAGGTGGAATTGAACCTAAGACGCCCAGTTACAAGACCGGAATGGTCTTGGCGTCACACCCCCATAGAAGTAGACTCGCCCGCTTACATGAGAGGCGAGAGTGGGCTACTTAAACAAGACATTCACGGCAACGGGGGCTTATAGATACACGTCGTCTCGCTGCTACCTAACATGGCGTCGCCGATATAGGAAACCTGCTACAAACAACGTTGGAATATGGACGAACAAACACAGCAGACATTACTTCAACAGCTCATCGAGCTACAGCAAGAGAGCATCGCCCTCATGAAGAGACGGAGGACAGCCGAGAAAGTCACTTACAAGGAGACCCGACAGACCTAATATAGAACCGGACTCAAGTGATGGTGACTGGGCGATATTCATTGACTCCTGGAATAGATACAAGGAGATGTGTGGGTTGACGGAGCCAACAGCGTTAAGAAACGAGCTGAGAACGGCCTGTGCCCCAGAAGTGAACAGGCTGTTGTTCGATATGGTAGGAGCAGAAGTACTAAACTCCGTCACGGAGGAACAGCTGTTACGGCACATAAAGCTCAGAGCCATCAGAAGCCTACACAAAGAAGTGTACCGCAAGAATTCCACTCCGAAGGCAGAAGGAGGGGGAATCGACACGGACTTTGTGGCACGACTTGATCAGTCGCAAAATTCTGCGACTTTTCAGTGACTTGTCCGAACGGGATAGGATGCGGTCGGAAAGTCAGCTACTCAACGATATGGTAGCAGGACAAATGGTGGCTGGGCTGGCAAGCCTGGAGCATCAAAGCAAGGTGTTGTCTGAGGCTGCGACACTTACGACACTGGAAGAAAAATTCAACAGGCTTGTCAGCCTAGAGACCACGGACAAGTCTACCCCCCATCTCCATAGTAACGTATACCCTACTACAATGAGTACACAGAGATCGGGAGCGCAGGCAGCGGCCTCGGGAGAACCAGACCGTATCAACCCCGAGAGACACTGAACCCTGTAAATGGTGTGGGAAGAGCTCACACCCTGACGGCTCGAATGAACGAAGGGGTTGCCCAGCAGCAAAGATGACTTGTCACAATTGCGGCTTAACCGGACATTTAAAAGGGGTTTGCAGGAAACCGAAGCAGGGGTCCAGCAACAAATCTACAGCGGGTGTGGTCGGAGCAGAATCCAGAACTCTCACCACCCAAAGACACAAGAAGGGTCGTAATCGGTGATCGTCCAAGATGGACAAGTGAAAAGGAGAGGTGAAATCAACCTGACAAAACCAAAGGCCGTGCCGCACCTGATTTGGAACAAAAGTAAGTTCGAAGAGGTACTCCTGATCCAGCACCAACCCTGATGGTAGAGATAACTCTGATTCCAGAGGCCCATGCAGAATTCAGGCACATATCCATAGGACAAGCTGGCCTCCATACTCACCGGATCGAGGCGATCGCAGACACTGGGGCACAGACATGCTCTAGCGGACCAGAAATCCAAAAAATTCTGAAGTGTCCAGACAAATGTCTAGTACCGACTAGTCACCGAATTGGGAATCACGGATAACCTACTAAACATAAACGGCGTGATATTCGCTAAAGTCAGAGTAGGATCGCGGAAACACATCAGATTATATATGTATCAAAAAATACATCAGATTTCTGCCTGTCCGAGTCGGCCCTAAAAGACCTTGGTCTGGTGCCAGATAACTTTCCAGACCCAACTTCCCAGCAGAACGTGGCAACTAGCGACGGCGAAAGGCACCATGTGGGTGCCCACAAAGAACTAATGTCCCACCTAAGCCGGACAGTATCCCTTTCACTCCTATGGAAGAAAAACAGACCCCGATTGAACGATGGATGAAGGAGCATTTTGAGTCCAGTGCATTCAATGTATGCCCACATCAACGGCTGCAGGCAATGGAAGGAAAACCCATGGACATCACATTCATCCCGGGGGCCAAACCCTCAGCTGTCCACACCCCAATCCCGGTCCCACACCATTGAAAGAAAAGAGTCAAGGAGGACCTCGACCGAGACGTGGCATTGGGCATCGTAGAACCTGTACCAGTGGGTACACCTACAACATGGTGCTCCAGAATGGTGGTTGCACCAAAAAAGATGGGTCACCGAGGCGCACGGTGGACCTACAGAAGCTCAACACCGCCATCTTCTACGGGAAACCCATCATACACCGTCTCCTTTCAATCAGGCATCGCTGGTGCCTGCGAAAACTAGAAAAACCGTTTTGGATGCATGGAATGGCTATCATAGCCTAACCCTCTCTCCATCGGGTAAGAGATGCAACTACCTTCATCACGGAATGGGGTAGATACTGTTATCTTCGGCACCACAAGGATTCCAAGCGTCCAGGAGATGCATATACACGCAGGTTCGACAATATTACTGTAGATATGCCCAGGAAAACAAGATGTATTGACGATACAATACTATGGGACAACTCTATTGAATCATCATTTTGGCATACTATGGAGTACATAAATAACTGCAGCAAAAATGGTATCGATTCAACCCCAGAAATTTCACTTGGCGGAAAAAGAGGTGGAATTTGCTGGGTTCTTGATAACAGAAGACGGGATAAAACCCACCAAAAAATGACTGAAACAATAATGAATTTCCCGACACCAAAAAAATATAACTGACATAAGATCCTGGTTTGGAATGGTAAACCAGGTAGCCTACGCTTTTTCTCAGGCCGAGGTAATGGCCCGTTCCGGAGCTGCTAAAGACAAAAATCGGAAGTTCTACTGGGACAGTACACTCAATCGAATCTTCAAAGAGTCGAAAAGAAGGATCACAGAAGAAATCGAGAACGGTGTAAGAACCTTCGAAGTGAATAGGCCAACTTTTTGTAGATGGACTTCAGCAAAACAGGCTTAGGATATTTTCTTTTCCAGAAGCACTGCAACTGTGCCACCGGCTGGACCGGCGTGTGGTGAGGACCACTGGAAGTTAATCCTGGCCGGCTCCCGATTCACTAATGACGAGAGTCCTGATATGCACCAGTGGAAGGAGAAGCATTGGCATTAGTCTACGGACTGGAAGCATGCCGGATGTTCGTTTTGGGTGCCCAGAGCTGTTAGTCACTGTGGACCATAAGCCCCTGGTGAAGATCTTCTCGGACAAAGCTCTGGAGGACATAAAGAACCCAAGACTGTTTAACTTCAAAGAACGGTCCTTGATGTACAAATTTCGAATAAAGCATCTCCTGGCAAACTCAATGCGGCACCAGACTGTACATCGAGATGCCCAGTGGCATTAAGCCAGGAGGAAGCAAAACGAAAAGGACATCGCACAAACTATGGATAGTGCCATAAGAGCGTCATTTAACTCCACCTATGAGCAGGACCCCAAATTAAGAGCAATAACATGGGACAGGATTGTGGCTGCAGCTGCTACTGACGAGGAATGCCGTTCCTCGCCAATTCATACAAAATGGCTTCCCTAAATCTCGCACGAACTGCCGGAGACAATTCGCCGGTTTTGGCATATGAAAGAGGAGTTATATTGCTTGGAAGGGGTGACGATAATGGAAAATAAAATCCTCATACCCAGAAAGCTACGTGCGGAGGTACTGGAATCGCTCCATTCAGCACATCAGGGCGCCAATGGAATGTTGGCAAACGCTAGACAGCGGCTGTTTTGGCCAGGACTGACGCGAGCATTAAATCAAACCGGGCCCAGTGCAAAGTATGCAACGAATAGCTCCATCACAACCCAAGGAACCCCAAATGCCACCCTCGAACCCCGAAGTTCCCATTTCAGAAGACTGTGACGGACTTCTTCGATTACGAGGAAGAACTATCTAGTATATGCAGATAGATACACCGGATGGGTAGAAGTCACTCTGATGTCGTCCGGGAATGCCAAGGCTACATGTGACGCCCTCTGAAACTGGTTCTGCACGTATGGCGTACGGAGGAACTTTCAACCGATGGCAGACCACCATTTGACTCCAGTGAATTTAACCGGTTCCTAGATAATTGGGGCATAAGGAAACGAACATCATCGGCATATTACCCTCAAAGCAACGGGAGAGCAGAACTGGCCGTTAAAACGGCTAAAAGGATACTTGTTGATAGCACGGACAGTTGCGGTCGCCTATGCCATGACCAGGCAGCTAGGTCCCTACTGACTCATCGCAACACCCCGGTACGAGACCTACATATGTCTCCAGCGATGATGCTCTACGGTCGCGTGATAAAGGACCATCTCCCAGTGCTCCAGGACCGATATCGAATCCACAAACGCTGGAGAGAAATCGGTCATTATAGGGAAACAGCGATGGCAAAAAGACACTTAAGGAATGAAAGAGAATACAATCTAAAAAGTCACCCACTGCAGGAACTGAAAATCGGGAAACGGTGCAGATACAGAACCAAGTTGGTCCATACCCGCGCCCGATGGGCAAAGACAGGAAGGGTGGTGGAAACACTGGGTAACCGCAGTATAATGTACGCATGGATGGGAGTAACCGGGGTAACCCGTCGCAATCGCAGATTCCTCCGAAAAATAAACCCAGTAGTAGATACTCCTTGCCACTCGATACCTGAGGTGCCCCAGGAATGTTGGATGCCATAGACAACCCAACAGGGCCCAAATACCGGGAGAATGGTCCACCACTGATATGGATCAAAACCAGCCCGAAACATCCGACACTCTACCAGAACCGATGGAGGTAGATGACACAGCATCCCCTGGAATGATGGAGGTTGAGGAAGACCAACCGGGCGTCGTAGCAGAAGGGGTGACGCGACCACCCAGGAACCTATCCCCACAGACGTGGGGCACGTCGCACGACTACTCCAGAGCCTCAAAACATTGGACCACAACGCATAAGTATCTTGTGGCCCTGGAAGGGAGGGGGCGTGTAGAGGTGGAATCGAACCTAAGACGCCCAGTTACAAGACCGGAATGGTCTTGGTGTCACACCCCCATAGAAGTAGACTCGCTCGCTTACATGAGAGGCGAGAGTGGGCTACTTAAACAAGACATTCACGGCAACGGGGGGCTTGGCAGATACACGTCGTCTCGCTGCTACCTTACAAATATCAGCAACAATATTGTTATTATATTTACAAATTAATCCATCCTGTTAAAAAATAACAGCTTATTTAAGTAGTCTTCCAGTTAAGTTTGCACTTTTATCAAAATCTTTGCTTTGTATTTTCTTGTTTATGTTCAACGGTTTCTCAATATTTAACTAAAAGTAAAATTAAGATAACAATTAATTCTCTGCCTTGCCTGCTCACTATCATTAAAAACAATTATAATAAAAGAAACTAATTTTTGATATATACATGTATATTTAAGCAAATCATACTTGAAACTGGCATATGACCCCACAGAAATAATTTATGACCCCCCCAATAATTTATGACCTCCCAGTTTTGTCCCCCATTTGAAATTTTCTAATAAATTGTCAGGAAATTTGTGATGTTTTCAGCTTTTGATTTGAACTGATTATTTTGTTGTATTGGATTTTGTCTTGGATCATACATGTAAACAGTAATGTACCGGTCAATAGAGTAAAGTAGAGGTAGAGCATGTATGAAAATTTAGCTACAGCTAACCATTCAGCATAGGGTGAATCGGAGTCATTGGGGTGACATTTGAGCGGACCGCCCCGGGTGACGTTTACTCTAGCTACGCCACTGAGTCTAGGCAAATTAAAAACTAAACAGGCTTATTTTTAGAGCAAAATATGATTTATTCATCAAAATTTGAATGAAGAAATTCAAAGGTACATGGATTTTATGAACAATTTCATACAAGATTTCAATATATGGACCGACTGTGACATGTCAAGTCAGTAATCCAGATCCTTTAGCCCTGTACAGACAGTGTTTCTCTTTGAACTTTTTTCTGCCATGTCCAAATCTGCATTACAGTTGATGCATTTTTAGTGAATTCTCTCATAAATACACATTGCACAGTCTTGTTTGACTGTGTTCAAGCAGAGACTCTAACAGAAAAAACACCTTTCCTTTTCCAGTAAATGGCATTTCTTTACCTGAAAAGAGAAAAAAAATCATTAAGCATAGAATTTTAAGTTTTTTCTACACATGCTCTTAAAATTTGAGATCACATGAATGAGAATTGGTCAAGTTATGAGATTACAAAATGATATCAATTTTCCTGAAACACCCTATACATTTATATACATATATATATATATATATATATATATATATATATATATATATATATATATATATATATATGCTAGGATTAGATCTCAAGTTGTGAATGGCAACCTTCGTAATGATGGTTTCTTGATAAAATTATGGTAAATCCTCAGCTAGGCAGGGTCCACCTTACTTTGTGTGCAATTAATTCTAGTACTGCCTCAACAAAAAAAACAAAAAACAGATTAATATTTGTGTATATAAATTTTTCCCTTTTTTATTTATTAGGTACAACATTCATGGAGTAAACTTGAGTAAAATCCAAGATATGTTGTCTCGCTATGAAAAGGGTGTGACAGTAAAACAATTGCTGGGTACTCAGAAAAAACCAGAGGAAAAAAGCCACACTGACAAGTAAGAGATTTAAATAAAGACTTTGCATTTTATGTGAATTAAAATTTCAAACCAGCTATCTGTTGATGTGTTAAAAATTTGGAATAATGCAATAATAATTTAAATTTCATCTCTCTGATAGATATCACGATCTGTAAAAAAAAAAAAAAAAAAAAAATGCTCATAATTTTTGATCTCAATTATCTTTTGCTTTGCTTAGATTAACAATTGGATCCTAGGTATATGCAAAAATTGGTCTTGTTTTACAGTCTTCAGATTAAAGTTTTCCTTTCCAGTGTAGGGGTAATAAAATAGAAATTAAATGGCTTCTTACTTTTAGAATTTATGTAAAATTTTTAATACTCCTATTAGATTCTATTAGCTCTATGATTCCCTCCTCTTGCCTCCTCTCATCTTATTTATTTATTTGTATTGACCAGGAATGCAGCAAAGGCTCAGAGAAAAGCTAACCATAAAAGAAAAAAGAAATCTGATCACAGCGGAGACACAAACAATAATAAAGATAATATCAATAATAATGATCAGCATAGCACCTCCCCGCCAGAGATGCTCACGACTAAGGCTTTTTCTGACAATGATATAACCACAGAAATGTCCCCAACTACTCCCTGGACAGATCAGGGATTTATGGATACACACTGGGCAGATCAAGGATTTACAGATACTACCAGAGAAGACCGAAGATTTACAGATACTCCTAGGACAGATCAAGAGTTTAGCGAGTCAGAATCTTGGGGATCAGATGAATGGTATGAACCACAAGCTCAGAGGCTTCCAAAGAAAACTGTGAAAATCTCAGATGAAATTCAGGATCAATTCTCTGAGAGTGGAAGCAGTACTGAGAATTTACATGAGATGTTAGCTATATTGCCACCGCTGAACAAAGAAACGCATGCGGTAGAAGACTTGGCACTTTTGGCATTAAAGTGTATTGAAAAGTTTGGTAATGAGGAAATTTATGAAAGAGCAAGTTCAGCAACAGTGGAAGGATGCCAATGGAAAAATAAGATTTTATTTGAAAATTTTGAAAAAAAAGTTTCAAAGAAACTTATTCACAAAGATCTAATGCCTTTAATAAAAGACAATTTGTCATCACTTGCTTGTGACATGGAATCTCTGAAAGAGTCTCCAAAATCCTTGCCCATTGAAAACCTGACAGAAATCTCTCCAGAAGAGCAAAATGAATTTTATGTGATCTTTAGCCTTAAATCAGATTTTCTAAATCTCCTCACTCAGATGTTTGGACCCATTGATAATTTGACCAGTGAAGGTAAAATAACCCTTTTTTTAAAAATCATTTTTATATTTTTCAATCAGGAAAATATTATGTAATAACCTAAGTGGGGTGTTGATTTTTACAGTCATTAGAAAACTGCAAAATTATTACTTTACTATTCATAGGGGAATGGAGTAATTTTTCAGCAGTTACTGATTTGTGATAATTATTTTTTTAATAAGACCAAAGTCTAATCTTTTCTAAATTTTTTTTTCTAATATATATATCTTCTATGTGCCATGTCCCTTCATGACATAGAAAATCATGGCTCTACAGGAACTTCTTATTCCTTGTGGGACAAACTTTACAAAGGACAGGATGTTGTGAGCCATGATCATCCCTGGTCACGGTCATAGAAGTTAAAGTTATTTTACTTTTCGAGTTTTAGGGAAAAGAAATTAATTTCTCTTGTAGAATATTTGAATGCAAATATATTTTTTTATTTTCATTTGAAGATTTTATTGATCAATTTATAAATTTTACAGAAAGATACTTAAAAAAAAATAATGGAAATATGGAAAATTTATTAGAATTTTATTGGCTGCTTCTTAGTCATGTGATACTGAAAAATAGTTTGCATTTGTCAAGTGTAATGATCTGACTAAAAAGCAATATAAAATTCATATTTGTATGAGTGTATAACTTTTAGTAAAAAAAAAATGGTTGATTCATAAAAAATAGGTAATAAAAATAACTGAACAAATTATAAGAAATTCTTTTTTAGAGATCTTCAAAATATTACATGAACAAAAAGCTTATGACCTAAAGAGAAAACAAAAAACTAGTACAAAGAAAAATACATTTTGTGATTTTTAAGATTATATAAGACTAAATTATTAGTATTTACTTAATGTATTTTTAAAAATTTAAACATTAATTACTTGAAAAATAGATTGTTAATCCTAACTAACATTGATGGAGACATCAGTTGAATTATTCATCTCAATAAAAATATTTCCATTGGCCTTCAAGTAAAGGCTGTATAAAAAAAAAAAAACATATTAGTATTGTTATATTTACTTTAACTTTGTTGTCATTGAATTTTCATTGTCTTTACAGAAGCCAACCAAAATGAAAATGTAGACCTAAAGTTAAATTACGATGATATGAAATGTCTCCACCAGTCATTGTCCAGGATTTGTGCAGTTAAAAAAGGTACATGTTTATTTTTTATGTTAGCGTCTGAGAGCAAGTGTGTGTGTGTGTGTGTGTGTACACAGACACAAACATGAACCCACTTGGGTAAAAGTAGTTATACAATTTTTCTGTATGTATTTTTTCCCTCTTAAGCAATGGAAATTATTATTTTGTATTGATTTCCCACTCAGAACTTGCTAAAATCTACAATTATATTCATATAATATTTCAATTTTTCTTTTTATTATTCATATAATATTTAATAATTTGATATTTATTTATTTATTTATATTTATTAACTTATTATTAATTTAATATTATTTAAAATAATAATTATTATTATTCATATAATATTTCAATTTTTCTTTATTATGAAATGAAAAATTGATTTTTTTTCACTTTTGATTGCTTTTAATCTAAACAAAATATATTCAAAATTGCTGTCATCTCACAACTATTAGAAACAATATTTTTCTGTTTAAACACTTGGAACTGGATGGCACAGTTCTGCAAGAAATTTCTCATATTGCTAAAAGAAATGACAAGAGGAAAATCTTTTATGTTGACATGTTTTGTTCTTTGAGGAAAGTTATGAAGGCAAATATAGTAATTTTATTGAAAAACCAGTATTTATACAAACAGAAAAAGTATCAGTCAGAATAAAATAATGTATACAAATGTGAATTAAACAATATTGTAAAATTAAGGAAAGGGAAGAAAATTATGGAAGATGCTAAGTGATATAAATTTTTGGCATGTTGTCAAACAAAACTAAATTAATGTTGTTTTTGTTTATATTATTATAATAAAATAATCATCCCAAACCTAAGCAGTTAATATTCTAAGAATTTTTGATGCCCAAGAAAACAAATTTGAATCTTTTGAATGCTGATATGTTTTTTTTTTTTTTTTTTTTCACATTTACTTAAAAAAAATTTAAAGAATTCTTAAGCTTTTTGTAAAATTCTTCTTTTTAATGATTATTTTTTGTTTTGAAGGGAGTGTCTGCTCTAAGGAGAAAAAGAAGCCTAAAAGCAAGAAAATACTCCCATCCAGTTATTCGTCTATGAGCAACTCTCCAAAAGAAAGCTTTATGCACCAACCAGAATCATTGACTGAAATCATGAAAGAACAAGAAGAATCAACATTCAAACTTAAGCAGAAGGTTAGGAAAACTTTGCTTGCTTTAATAATTTGAATGCTTGTCAGAAGTATTTTTAAATCATCGAGCATTTTTATAAAAATAGAAACCTTTTATTATTTTTGAGTTATAAAACCACTATAATAACTACCACTAGTTATGATCATAATGTAAATACTATAAACATATATATATATATGGCATAAATAAATATATACTTAATATAGATATATTAATCAAAATAACACAAATAATATTTCTCACAGCTACTTTCTTATGCATGTGCTAATGTATCATACTTTCTGTCTTTGTTTACAATTGAAAGGCCTGCCACTGTCACCAAGTGGTCACTTTGAGAACTAATATGACTTGTTCCACTAAGCCCACAAATCTTGAAATACATTGCTTGAATACATTTGGGAGTTTTTTTTCCTGCAGATTCTCTTTTTTTTTTTTACCTGCAGATTGTGTCCATTGCATCCAAAGTCTGTTGATGGGAGGGGGTGTTGTGGGTGGGGGAGGGTCCGTGGATGAGAGGTTTGTCTGTATACTCGAGTATAGTGTAAGTTTTTATGATCAGTTTTTTTATACAAAAAACAGTGGAATGCACTATACACAGTTTTTTTTTTTTTTTTATGTGGTTAAAAATCATGCATTTTTGGTGACTGGTTGACACCGGTAAATTTTTTCTAGGGGGCTTAAAATTCATCCCACAAAATTCAAGGGTTGCCCTATACATGAAGGAAGCTTATACACAAGTATATATGGTATGTTGTTGAAAATATCAAATTTTTCACATTTGTTGCTTTTTAAATTACAATGATTTTTAAAAAGCTTAATAATAACATAAAAATTTAGCTTACATTAAAAAGCAGTATTAAGATAGAGAAATATTACCAAGTTCATTTTTATCATTTATAAAAGGCAGGCTTTTGCCAATCTGAATTTTCTTTTAAAGATTTCTTAATGTCCGTTAATTCCAAATTAATTAAATTATTAATTACAACAAATGGAATTTGTTGTAATTAATAATTGATATTTTCAGATTTAAAAGACAATTTAGTAATCTTAACATATTTCAAAAGGCTTGGCAGTAAGTTGAGTGACTTGTCTTATATTTTTTAATCATTTCTTTTGAAATACATTTTTTTAGAGATGGGTTAAAAATATCCCGCCATTAACAACTTGTATTATTCACAAATCTTTTGTTGGTACACATACACCCATACATATATATATATATATATATATATATATATTCAATCTCCCATTAGGATTGAAAGAGTTAAAATAAAAAGAATGTACTGTGTGTGTTGTGACTTTCACATCAGTATGTATGTGTTGTGAGTTGGTTCCAATCTTGTCTGAGAATGACTGCAAAACACTTTCCCTTCCCCATTTAAAGGCAGGAGCACACATTATGCATGCTGTGATTTCTGGTCTGTCAAAATGCTATGTTTGCTTATCTGAACGTGCTCTTGTGTCAATCCCAAGTTTGTGAACTTTTTGCCATATTACTGTTGCTTTGCCTTGCATATATTGTTTGCTTGCTTTATATTATCTTTTGCCATGTTTTTTCCTTTTCTTTTTTCTTGTTATTGTTATTGCAAACTTTGTCAGTTCTATTTGTTGGGCAGTTCTGCTATTTATTTGCATTTAACCATGGCCACTAACTGTATATTGTGACTTTCACATATATATTCATTTGCATTAAATGAGAATCTGACTTCAAATTAAAAATTAATTTTTTTACACAATTGGTCATACTTAGTAACTGTTCCTTGTAACTAAGATTTTGTTTTAGCCAGAGACAAAATCCCCTCCTCTGTGTGTGTGTGTGTGTAGAGAGAGATATACACACCCACACAGTATATGAATATTTTACTTATTGATATCTAAACACTTATTAAATTTTGTTTTAATAGCTGCAGAGAAATGATTATGCTACAACCAAGAAACTGGAAAAACTGTGTTCAGAATTTCCTGGCTATGATCCTGATGTGATTGAAGATATTTTTAAGGAAAATGAGTAAGAAGCTTTACAATACATGATTACATGTTCACTGTGTTTACCTGTCTCTGATATTTCATAAATCAATAAATACAAAGTTATTTATTTTCTATATGTGTTTTACAGATCTCATTTATATTGTCTTTGTGTTTTAATTTATCCTGTGTGCACATGTGTTACAATTTTTATCAATCCTACCTTGTGTTTGTCTTAAGTTTTATAAAATTCAGAAAGAGGTTTTTGGAAAATTTGATACTCACAGGACAGATTGAGGGCAAAAGAAACAGGAAAACAAACCCATAACCTACCTAGTGACCTTTAGTAAAAGAATGGCAGAACAAGTTTTAGGAAAAATAAAAAGATGAAATTTATTAAGAGGAGAGAAAACTGTAGTGCCATGATTGTCAGTGTCTTGTTGGAATACAGAAAATAAAAGACGATGATGTTTCAGGAAGAGCGTCTTGATTACTTTCATTTGTGTCAATTATTTCTTATTTTACTTTGAAATGCAACCAAGCACTCCTGAATGTCGGACTTTATTTTTTAAAATAATAGTTGCTTTCTTAAAAATAACTCAGGTGTTCAGTCATTTGTGTAATGTACTAGTTGCAAGATTGGAGAATTTAAGATACAAAATAGCTTCCTCAAAGAGAAAGTATTGATATTTCTAAAATAAATAAAATCAGGTCCCTAATTTCCTGATAAAGTGGTTTCAGGAGACGTAAGTGTCCAGCAAGTCACAGAAATTACTGGATAACTTGCAAGTTGAACAGCTTGATCATTTCAAATTGTCTGCACTTGAGAACTGACCCATTTCTCATGAAATAATCATAAAGGGATAAACGATATAAAAACGGACATTTTAAAAGTATATATTTGTATGTACAAATGTATTAAAACAAAGGGTGCAGAAGAGCAAGGATGTGAAAAAAAAATTACACACTGTAAAGAAATTTATGATTTTAAATGTCAGTGTGATGTTCAACATATCGGCAGAACTAATTAGAAGTTGGAGGTGAGTATTGATCAGCATGTACCAACTAAGATCTATAGAGGGTAGTATAAAAATTTGTATACATTTGTTAATATATCTGGTTCTGTGATTGCAGAGCACCTAATAAATAACCAAATTTGTGCTTCATCTTTTACCAGAGATTTCATCTCAGTTATTGAGCAGAGCACATTTTGATTATGATTTGAAAGTGCTGGAGACTATATATTAAGTCTAAGCAGCCTTCCCTCTGTAAGCAGAAGGAATGATTGATGGGTGGTAATCTAATCTGTCTGTGATTCATAGTGCTGATTCTCTGGTAATGTGTTTATTTATCTCCTCATGATTTTAATCACTGTGCACATATTTGTATGTTTTGTCCTCAATTGAGCACTGAAGTGCAAAGCACAATAACTGGCTAGTTTTTTTGGTTTTGTTCTTGTTTCCTCTATTTCATTATATTTTTTGATTTACCACTTTTCAGTAATATCTTTTTCTTATCCTTATATATACAGAAGGAAGGCTGCTCAGACTTAATATACAGGATCTCTACTGACAGCCATGAAAAAATATCTGGTAAAAGATGTTAGTTCAGTGATTTATTATTTTAAATGTCAGTGCAATGGCAAATATATTGACAAAAGTAATCAGACATTGGAGTGAGAATTGATCACCACATACTAATTAAAATCTGTAGAAAATTTGCATATGTTTGTTAATGCATCTGATTCTGTGATTTTTTTTTTTTTTTTTTTTTTTTTGGTAAGAATTTACAACAAAAATATTAAACATGGTTTATTTACAAGACTGATTTTATGTTTGCAGCATTCTAAAAACTAATAGAATTAAACTAATGCAATGCAATATTTATCATTTACCAATTTATAAAGAAATAAATATGAAAATTTTTTATTCATAAATTTATAAACATTTACTAAATTATTAAAATATGTGAACTATCTACAATGAAATCCTTATTATTTACCATTTTATAAAGTTGAAATCAATTGACAATTAGCCAATGTTTTGCCAAACATTCCAATAAATAATATAATAAATAAATAGTGTAAATAAACAATCTAATAGTGTTTATTATTTTTGTTGTCAGTTCTCAAGAACAAAGAAAATTTATAAATTCACTTTTATTATAAATTAATTGATTTAAAATATGGTTTTTCCGCTACACAGTTCTAACCATGTTTCAAAAATGGAAGGTCCGAATTTAATTTTGTAATTAAATTAAAGACATTAGTTCCATTTCATCCTCAAGCGAAAGGAGCACTATTTTGTAAAAATAAAAATATCTATAAGAACACCGGATTATATATTTTACTGTTCTTTCTTTTTATTTATATATACATAAATTCACTTTTATATGTTTAGGTTTTATTACAATTCTAATCATCACTTTTAAAGCAACAAACATTGCTGAGCAGTGAAGGTATGTTAAATAATAGTGATGTCAATAGAAAAAAAATCATCCTTTTGACACTTTTTTTTTTTTTGTGGACATGAAGGTTCAGTTTGCACTATTTACATTGTTTGGACTGTTGTCCTCATTTTTATTGTCATATTTACAATGTTTTGGTCGTTGTACACTCATGCCCTCTTCAGGTGATATATACTGGAATTTTGAATTGAACTTTTTATTTAGTCCATGGGGGTAGATTGTTCTAGTTCCACATGCCATGCCTTTTCTGGATATCTTGGTTTCAGTAATTTCCCTTTAGTAACTCAACTCTCCAACGTGGTGCTAAAACAATCTACTGCTGTGGACTAAATAAAGGGTTTGTATATCATCTGAAGAAGGCCGGAGTATACAACGACCAAAACATTGTGAATATGACAATAAAGATGAGGACAGCAGTCTGAACATTGTGAATACTTACAATACCTCATTTCAGAAATATAGACAGATGACAAAGGCCCAAGTTTGCCAAAATTCTAACCCCCCCCCCCACACACACACAGAAATCATATAATTCTTTCCGTAATGCTCAGTGTTATTACCTGATGATTCAGTAATGATTCTATTTTTTTTTTTGTTGGTGACTGCACTGAACTTAGTAAATACTAAATAACTAACAAACACAATGTTATATAAAGACATATTGGAAATAGATTTCTTAATTTGAAACCTGCTACTAAAATTAATTCAACTTCAAAGGAATTGTTTACTGAATTTTCTTTTTATCAAATCACCCTGTCTTAAACTGAAACTTACAACATCTTTTTAGCAAAGAACAGTTAGGCTTGAGACTATAGAACGGTTGGGTAATCACTTCATCATTCATCTACTTGCAAATTCTATATAAAAGCATACATATATTGGCTCATAGCATCAATTGTAATATTTATCTCACATGATTCTTGAAGATTATTACAAAAGCAAGGCTCTGGTTTTGAAGTAACTTTTCATTCTTTCAGATTAATTTGCTTAACCAGTTTTGTATTTGTTATTGAACAATAGGCTTTCTGTTTGCTTGTTCCTTCAATCATTATTTGTTAATTTATTTTTTCTTTACAGCTACAACATGCATGAAACCTTTGCTGTCTTACAGGGCCACCCACAACGTGATGCAATTGACTGGAGATTTTCTTGTAATACAGTTGCTGTGCAAACTGCACCTAAAGTAAGTTCTTTCTACTAATCCTCAAAACATGGGGAATAAGTTTTATGTTAAATATGATTATTTTGTAACATACTCATTATTTTTCACAAAGGTCAATACTTGTTCAAATTGAAACACTTGGTTGTCGGTTTATGTAAATATCTATGACTGATTTTCTGTTCAGTGATTCATTGTAATTTATCTGCTCACTAGAAAAAAAATAATGCTTTCATATGGTGGGAAAATCATTTAAAAGGAAAGAAAAAAAAAAGCCTTATTTTTCTTTCTTGAAAGTAGATTTCTGTAGATATTTTTTAGATAATATTTAAATAATTGCTCCTAAGATATTGTCCTCTAAATGTTGCAAACTATTTTATTGGGCAGCATTTTCCACATTTATAGTTAAGTAAATACTAAAAATGAAATGAAAAATGAAAGCCTTAATAAGATAAATTGATCTATAATCAATTTTTGTTTTTCTTAAAAATCATCAGATAAATGTATCACATATTTTATACCAATAAAATAATTTGTTAGCATAGTAAGGAAAAATAACTTCAAGTATCACTATTTGTCATTGTTTTTATATAATCTAAATTTAAAGGAAGGTTGTGTGAGAAAAGTAAATTATGTTTTACAAAGTAGTTTTATCACAACCACCACATTTGCAAAAGTATATTTGAACATTAGAAAAGAAGATTATTAAATATAATAGACACAGTGTATACTTTTAATAATACATGTTTAAAATTGTAATCATCAAACCATATAATAATTATAAATGGGTATTTATTTATATATTTCCTGTCTCATTTATAGTGGGAAGGGAGGTAGATCAACTTTTACTAGTAAATTTATGTGATTACTCCCCTTAGTCAATTTAATCTACACAAATAAAATATTTGTATTTAGACAAAATTACTTCCCAAGCAAAATGAAGCATTTAATTAATCACTTCTTATACTCCTACATTTCTTAGATTGCAGTCTTATTTGTTCAAGCCTTTCATGTGAGGCACTCAGATACATTTGTCTTTTAAGTGATCGGCTTGCTTCAACTTGGTCTTGAAATGAAATAGGCTTTTTTGTCGTTTTTGTCTTTCTGTTGCTAATCTTTTTCTTCCAAGAGATATTTCCATTCCACTGTTGTATAAAACACATAAAATGTGAAAAGATATTGAGCAAAAAGTAATTTATATAATACCAGGGGTAATCAGTAAATCATAGATACCATTGAACATCTAAAAGAATGTAAATGGAACAAATATATTAAACAGTTCATTGGCCTCATATTTTAGTTGTGAGTTCTTTATCTCTGCTTTATTAAATCTGAATACATTGCTACAAGACTTTTGTTTCACTGCATCTCACTATTAAGTTTCTTTTTGACAGCATGGATGCACAAGCAGATAATAAACAATGTGAATTTTTTGCTGGATGTTTGTCTCACTATCTGTAACTTCTCTCATGCTATTAATATACATGGCTAACAAGTTAATCCTACTCTGATTTGAATGTCTAATCAGGATGTAAGAAGACAAGTAACATATCCATTATGCCAGTGTTCTGCTGCTTGAACAGCATCATAGAATTAACTTGCATTTAGTTAAGCATAGTGCACAGATATTACACTGATTTTGGGAAGAAGAGCCAATTTTTATAGAAATATTTCTGTCATTTTTGGCAAGTACTATGCTAGTAACTAAATAAATAAGGATGGCCTCTTGAGTCATTTAACTATTTTTACTACCTTGAATGGAAAATAATTTTTTTTTCTTTCTCCTAAGTTAAAAGATATCTTTAAATTTTACTTAACCTGTTGACTTCAGTTTAACTTTGAGCTTGAAAAGTTATTTTTTTATCTCTAATCATCTTAATGAGTCTACATATTGAAGTTTTCTGTTTTTAATAGTGTTTTAAATTTAATATCTACAAACTGAAACTGCCTTTTATAACAAGACGTTTTAAAAAAAAAAAAAAAAATAAATAAATGTGTAAATGAATTCATTTTTGTTTAACCTGTAATAATATAATTTTATTCTGTCTGAATTTCTGGGATAAGGAGTGTTGATAAGTTAGATAATCTAATAGAGGCTTGAAATAAAATTCAAGATTTACTCAACTAATTAGCAAATACTACTGCTAAATAAAAAGGTCTGCATAGAGTAAGTGGCCATGGTTAAATGTAAATGACAGAACTGCCCAACAAACAGAATTGACAAATTTTGTAATAAACAAGAACATGAGAAGAAAAGAACAGAGTAAAAATAATATTGAGTAAGCTAACAATATATGCGAGACAAAGCAACAATAATAAGGCAAATAGTTCAGAAACTAAGAATTGGTGTTGACACTCACGAGCAGATTCATGTTAACAAATGTAGTGTTTTGACTTCAAGATAGACTTGGACTGAGTCAGATGTATTCATAAAGTAGCCTATCTTATTGACTAAGAAAGAAATCCCAGCATGCATTTGTGTGGTTCTGTCTATAAAGTCGGGAGGGGGAAGTATTTTGCAGTCATTCTACTATAGATTGAACACAAAAGTTAGTCACTGTTTTAGGTCAAATGACAGCTGCTGTTATTTGAACCTGGTACTATTTATAAGAAATGTGAACTTGCGAATTTGTATATTATGACATTCTTCCCTCCTAAAAAAAAAAAAAAAAAGAGGATTTATATATTTTTTTTTTTATAATTACTAAAGAATACCATTTATTTATTTTAAACTCACCTATATCATGTGATATATGATTCAACCTCCAAGGTTGGGCCATATCATAATTTACATTCAGACTAATGTCCTCGGCTTTGTTATTTATTACGTTTTGGGCATAGTGCCTTCTGTCCTTTTTCAAGTTTCTTGATCCAGGTAAATCATTAAAGAAATTTGGACTGAACCCTTTATTTAATCTACAGGATTAGATTGTCACCATTTATGTGTAGAGATATCTCATCTTGTTCTTTTTAGAACTGCTAAGTTATTACTAACCCTACTCCCACTTAGTCTGAACTACCCAGTCCAGGGATTGAACTCACAATTACTATGCCACCAAATTCACAAACCTATGCCCTAATCCACTACTCTATTAGTCTGACTGTAAATAATCCTTTTTCTTTATTTTGATTCTAACTTACAGAATAAACCTAAAGAAGGAAATGGCAGGCATCACCTCACCTGGCTGAAGATTTCAGAAGAAGACCAAGCAGAAGTAGTTGAATTTTATTGTGAAAGACTTAAAGATAGTGTATATAAAAGGAATATGTATTGTAATAGATCTTATGACAAAGTTGTAAGTTACTTCAGAGAGAAGGTAAGATTTCATTACATTTCACTTATATATATATGTGTGTGTGTGTGTGTGTTTCATTGAATAATATAGGTATATTAATGGGCACGTAACTGACTGATTAGAACGTTTGCTTTCTCCCCATGAGGCCCGGGTTCGAATCTTTCCATGGTTGATTTATCAGGAAGGTGACTTCTTGTTATCAGTATGGAGGAGGCAATCCCAGTGTGCGGCACCTTTGGAAAGTGTCTGAAAACCATGCCACAGGTTGACCCAAGCCTTGTAAGTGAAATTGGGTAGACGGAACCCTTGGGTGCTGTCAATGGATGTGCTAACACAAAGTCACAAGTCATCATAACCGAGAGTTTAAGTGTGCTGGCCTTGTTCTCTCACAAAAACTAAGGTCTACTCAGCATAGTTGCAGTATAAATCGCAGGTGGGCTCTGTGAGTGTTGAACAAACACCAAAATGCACCAGAGCAAGTATCTGCAATAGGGTTTAGCTAGCTGCCCTAGTAGTAGATGGGTGTCCTCGAATACGAGTGGCCAGACATTAATTATAGAAATATTATATCTATTTATTTTTATAATGATCCTTTCCATTTCTCTAATTAATTTCTTAATGTTAAGATAAAATTCATCAAGGAAGGCATCGTAGTTTTTTTCCTACCTATGTACTTTCAATCCCCTCCAAGATTTTTTCTCAAACTTATTGTAACTGATAAAATTTGTATTTCGTTGTGATAGTGTTCATGTGGATATAACAAACATTTAATACCATTTTGCATTTCTACCAATTTCCAGTCAGCTCCCTTATATTGGGACGCTTGTTTTGCAAAATATTCCATAGCTATAACAGATAAATTTAAAATAATTATAATAGAGTATGTTTATGCATGTTTTTTTAAAATCACCATCACAATGAAAAAGAAAAAAGAAAAAAAATCTGTTCTGAATTGTAAAATAAAAAATACAATAAAACTAAACATTATTTAATTAGAATAGATTTTAATTGCTTTTATGAATAAAGTATATTATGCACACTATTGACTTAAGGAATTTTTTTTTTTTTTTGATAAGAATGAATTTTTACAAGAATTGTTTTCAGTTTTTTAAATTTTTATTAGAATAATTTATAAAAATGTAAATCTTTTAAAATTTTCTATTAATTTGTAGCAGTTAAGTGATATTGTTATTAATTAAAAACTATATTTACTAATAAATGGAAAAGGTTGCTAAAATTCAGTGACCCTAGTAATTTTTTATGTGTGTATTAATGTCATTTTTCATTTATTTTGTAAATATGATCATCCATATATGACATTAACACAAAATATGATTGGTAACTACAGTAAATTTACAATTTATTGTTAATTTTCTAACATTTCCTCAATTAGCATCTTTGTAAGTAAGGCCAAAGTACCTAAAATGCAATAAAATATTAGAATGCTTAAAATATTTTTAAAAATTTTAAAGATTATTGGGTAGTTACGAAACTTACATAAAAACAAGCATTAATATTTGTCACAATTTTTCTGGTTATTGTCCCCTCTAGTTAAATTTCCCAAACATCAGACTGTTGATAAATCACTCAACATGTCCCGTCCTGGGTAAAACGATAAACTACGTCCAATAGCAAAGCTGTTGACCAGGTTTTGAGGAGCGTGGAACCACCTCTTAATTGCTGGTGTTCTCAGGTCCATTCTGACCCAGGGTGGTAGCACCTGTTAGGGTCCCAGCTATGGGCAAATAGTTAACCCCCGAACTAGGATCAAAACACTATGAAAGTGTAAAAATAGGTTATAATACCAGCAATACTTTGTAAAAAAATTATTACCAGCTATACATTTTTTTTTAAAAAAAGTATTACCAGCAAAGGAAAATTATTACCAGAAATAGATTTTTGAAGGAAAAAATATTACCAAAAATCAAAATTTTGTCGGCATCAAATAATCTATTGATGTTGATATGCCATAAAAAAAAAACAACCAAACCAAACTCAACATGTCAAAAACACCCTGTCTATATTAAAAAAAATATGCTTTTCTATGATATTTTAAGCTAATAGTAAGTAGTATTTGTTTCAATTCAGCTTAATTAAACTTTAAATCAGCTAATTTTCCTGAATTAAAATATAAAGAATCAAGCTAAAGCAGAATAACTAGTTTCACAGACAGTTGACCTCCCCTCTCCCCAGTCAGTGATTATCACATTGATTTATTGTTTTAATAATAACAAAACTTTTGTAAACCTTTTTTTTTTTTTTTTTTTTTTTTTTTTTTTTTTTGTTCAGTTTCAGTCAAGTTTTTTTCTCTTTCTCTGCAGGTTGATGAATTTAAAATAAAGTTGAAAAATGCACAACTGAGTTTGCTGAAACAAAATGTAGCATCTTTGTAAGTCAATATTTCTTTGTTTCACCAAAATTCAATTAAAAAAATAAAAAAACAAGAACTCTTGTTATATTAAAATTACCTTATTTTGAGATACTAGTTTATTTCTTAAAGTGTATGATTGTATCAATATGTCTGCAGCCTAACATGTAGCTGCTGAATTTTGATTCTTCATTGCCAGCGTGGGGCTACAAAGGTGTGCTGAAAAGTTTGCAGCCAACCTACTTCTGAAAATCTGACAAAATTATTAAATATTAATTTTTTCTTTTTTTTAAGGATTTTTTTAAATTTGTCAGGCCAAGAACTTTTCAGTACCCTCTTATACAAGTTTTAAATTGGCTATATTTAAAGGCCCAGTAATACTGAATTTTTATTTGGTTTAATATTCATTAGTTATCCAAGCTAGCTCAAGGTTATTTTACAAAATAGATCATAAATTTGCAAGTAGCAAAATTAAAAATTTTAAAGTACTGTACTTTTTAGCAATTAGCCTAGTTTAAAAGTACTGGTTTTTTAACAACTAGCCCAATTTGGTAATCCTGTTTTTATCTGAAATTTTCAATGTATAATGTTCAATCTATATGTTTAATATTTACCACTGAATTAAGTGAATTGACAAAGAAGACAATTAAGTTGAAAAATAAATACTTTTTTATGTGAGAGTTTAGGCTATGGTCTTTTTGATTTATCTATGGATATACTTTTTTTAAAGATAGAAGTATCTAGGTAATGAACTAATAAGCAAAATACTAGAGGATAAAGAGAATTGTATTTAAGAGATGTTTCCTTAAGAGTTACTTACAGATAAGACCAAATGCATCCATTGTCGTTTTTATTAGTTAACTTTTTCTGTTTCTCCTGTTAAACAGTAGAAACAGTTTTCAAGTTTGGACTTGTGGACATTCTCTTAACTACTGCTTTTACTGTTGATTGCTGATTAAACATTACTCTCTGCTTATGTGTTTTGGGAAACTGATGGCATCATTCTGCACTGATTGATACCGAGGCTGTCATCTGAATTTTTGAGATGAGGAATTATTACTTAAGGGTGTTAAGTGAATTAGTGATCATGAGTTCAATCCCTTGTTCAAATAGGGCAAAAAATCATATACACTGGTTTAGTGAAAGAGACAATATTGCAAATTAACTACAAAGAATTAATTGGTTAAAAATATCCCTATAATAGCAACTGTTTACTCTTGTGGATGGAGTAAGGGATTTTGTTAAAATTTCCCAGAAGACAAAAGAGTAAAACAAATAAAAAATGTTGTGATGATAACAACCAAGATAAGAATATTAGTCTAAGCAAATTGGTTGTGTCATGATCTTTGTGATTCTTGGCAATCGATAAGCATTCACATGAGACTGATGTTTGATTGATTCCCTGCCTTGGAGAATCATTTGGTTTAAAAACATGACTTTCCAAATATATATATATATATATATATATGTGTGTGTGTGTGTGTTTGGGTAGCAGTCTCTATTTTATACAAGTTTTATTAAAATCAGTTGATAAGGTACTGCAGTTAAGTTTTTTTATTTAATTTTTCATTTGTTCTTATAATTTTCTTCTTTTCTGGACATACAGAACATGCAGACAATTTCTACATAATTTATGTCTAGAAAAAAAAGAAAATTATAGGAACAAAAGAAAAATTAAATAAAAAAAAAAAACTTATTCTTGTCATTTGTTTTTTAATGGGACTTATATATAACTGAATGGGTAAACATAGGTAGATATACAAGCAAGCGATCATATGCAAATACTTATAAACCACAAACTACACTTTCACGATGCTTGACATTACAAATTATTACAACTATTACAATTATTAAAACTAAAAATCCTTGAAGCATTATACATCAAATAGTTGAAACCCAACCTAAACAAAATCAATTATGGCATCTCTACAAATATTCTTAAATGTCTATAATTGGTAACAGAAGCCATTGGTTTATACCAACAGCTTCCCATACTTCTACAATTCACTCTCGTGTGCTCATGTGTGACGTCATGAGATGCGGTGCGATTTTCGCTTCTAGTGTCTTATATGCATGTGTTTATCGTTGCTTAGAAATCATCTATGTAAACAATGACAGACTATCATCACTGTCATGTCCGTATATTGTTTAATATGTTTAATTGACATCTTTGATAATGGCTTATGTAAGCCGAAAGCTTAGATTGTATTAAAAAAATATGGATCAATATTGTGAATTTCTTTCTTCGTTCAACGATAATGTTATTAAACTTATCAGACGTTACGAAAAAATTTTACATAAAATAAATAGACAACACTTGTCTATATTATTTAATGAAACGTGCATGAATGAAAAGATGCTGCCTAAATACACAATATATATATATATATATATATATATATATATATATATATATATATATATATTCATTTTATTTTAGCTTATCTTACTTTATTGCAGCATATTTTATCATTATTGATATCACTACTTTTATTTTTTTAATTATTTTTTTTTTTTTTTTTTTTTTTAAGAAATATTAATATTAATTACTATTGATTCCCAGAAAAAATAGAGTTAAACTTGATTTTATAACGTTACTTCCAGTTGTTAAACCAGCGCCCCTTTAAATTAGAATTTATATTTCTTATTTCTAACCTTAATTTCAATCTTAAATATTGATTTGGGCCAAACTTCAAATTCAAAACCGACTACAATTCATTTAAACATTTTAACATGTTTATTTACATATTTATATGTTCTTATATAAGGCTCTTATTATTATAGAAGTATTTTTGGAAAAAGTTCAAGATTTGTATCCAAAAAAAAACTGTCAGAACAATGGTTTTCTTTTGATACTGCTATTATTGCATATTTTATCTTTCAGATTCTTGCTGTTTAAAAACGCTATTAGAATTTTAATAAAATCCAAACATATGAAGGTGGATTGATGTATTCTCTTTTTTTTTCTAGGGAAAAACTATCATTTCCACATATTTTTTTTCCGGGTATGAATGTTAAACTTTGCCTAGTTCTGTTACCACAATACAGCAAAATAGCACATTGTAGCAAGATTTTTGCATGAGCAATACTGCTAAAATGCTAAAACCTAAAGAATAAATGCAATTTCCAATCCATTTGAATGCATCCCAATATGATTTTTATGTTTGTTATAAAAGTGAAAAAGAAAATCATATTGTAGGAGGAAAAAAATAATGATACTTTTATTTTTTTTGTTATAAAATATGTATTACACTTTTTCATATAGAAATAGTTTTTACAAAATAACATTATTTTCCAGGTACTTACATATGTATGCAAAAGTTATTAATGTTTTCATCATTTTTTTTCTCTTCATCCAAAATATTTGTACAGTATATTACAAAAAGCAATTTTTTCTAAATTGCACATATTTATGTTCAAAAATTTAACACTAAACCCCTGCTGATTAAGGGATTAGTAGTAATACAAGTAAAACTAACTTTAAATTTTAAATGTAGTTTGTCTAATTGCAGAGTAGTCTCTCCTTATTTGATATTTATTTCATAAATAAGAAGTGACTTGACATCAACTTAATATTTCACCTTTGACGTCTTAAGTTATTATTGAGAAAAAAAGTTTTTTTTTTTTCTATGAGACTTTTTTTATTAATAATTTCAGAATAAATTTAACCAATAATTTCCTTTTGATAAACTGTATCATTTATTATACAAATGATAGATGTTATTGCCTATTTTTCTAATGATATTACTTGTTATTTATTTTCTAATAAATATTTTACAGGTTAACTATAGATACTTATAATAAAATTGATCTTCATGGTATGAGCAAAAGTCAGGCTGGTTTTATTGTACGTGAATGTCTTAAAGATTATGCTGAAGGTAAGTAATTTTAAAATGAAAAGTTTGTCACCTTTTAGTAGGAATAATTGGTATAATGTCAGTATAAATAGAAAAGCCAGTTTTATATGTGATAGGTGTTGAACTCATAAAACTTTGCTATTACCACTAAACTTACTTGAATCATTTGACCTTGAAAATCTTGCTGGGCATTTGTTATGATGCTGAAATTTTAAACTTTTAAATTGAGATTTTTAAAATTTTTTTTTTTAATGTATATAATTTAACCAATATCATTTAATTTCTTTTTGTTTGTTTTATCCTTCTTATTATTTAATACACAACATTGTGATAAAAGATCTGACAAAAAAGGTGAAATGGATGTAAAATTACTGTGGTTCATAGATTTTCCTAATATATATATATATATATATAGGTGTAACACCATATCCTCACCCCACTGGAGCCACGCCCTCCACAAGACAGTGCCGTTGGACCAGTATGGTCCAGTATTACAGGCTAGACACAAGTCTCTGGTTCCTAATGTCAAATTGAAGCCACCCTCCAGCCACGTTGTGATTATTTTGATCCTGGAGAGTGATCATCAGATCATAAAAATCCAGAAGCTCTCTGTTAGTCCACCTGCAAGTTCGTTAGGTGAGAATCGGATTAACAGAAAAATAAATATAACCAAGTCGATTCAATTTTAAAAGGACAAAAGTTGTTTTTTTTTATATGTAAAAGCAAACACACACACACAAAAAATAATTCTTGTTGCACAAGGTTGAATGTTTCTTGTATGTGAACAATAACCAAACAAACACAAATATTTCGAATAATTTTGGTAAAGGAGAGATTTGTTTACATTTGTATACACTTTGAGCAGATATGAATGTACGTGAGAGATTCATGGAAAATTGTAGTTTAAAAGCAGTAAAATCGACCTTGCTAACCGAACAGTCCTCAATTGTTTAAGGCATGTCAGGCTATATGATGGTTCCATATAGGATACAGGTTCGATTCCTGTCGGAGGACAGATATTTTCTATGAAAATTTCTCGGGCATTCAGGACGGTAAATATTATTAATACTGTTTATTATAAACAGAGCATTTACTTAAATATTTGTATCTATAAAAAGAATGTGTGTGTGTGTATATATATATATATATATATATATATATATATAATTATTTATTTAAAAATATGATTTGAGTTGGAATCATATTTTTAAATAAATAATTATATTTATGCTCTACTTTTGTATCGAGCACTATTTTTTAAAAATAATAACTAAAATAATAAGGAACTTTGGATTATTTACCTAACCAGTTCCTTCCTATTTTCTATATATTTTCACATATATATAACACTAGAATGTTCAAGAATTAACAATAACAGTTAATGTCAGAAAAATCGGATGTCAAAATTGCTACAACTGAAAGAAAGAGAAAAAGTATAGAATCAATAAGGAGAGAGTATAAAGTGACAAGAAAATAACAAAAAGGAGAAATAGCTGCAACAATCGACACATACACACATATATGCAGACGGGACACATGAATATACACACACACTATGAAGGTAAAAAAATCAGCCAATGAAAAGTGCATATATAAAAAGAAAAAAAAACAAATATAAACAGTCAATTGATGATACTCCCTGATGAGTGGATGGAGTGATTGCTGGAGGATTTGTCTATGAATCAGGTTGCTAATGATAGCACCAATCAGCCAAGTGACAAAACATATTTGTACTAATTATATATATATATATATTTTTAGGCAGCATATCTTCATTCAAACATATTTCATTGAATGATTAATATAGACATATTGCGTCTACTTATTTTTATACTGATCCTTACCCATTGTCTAATCAGTTTCTTGTCAAGAAAGGCGCCATAGTTTTTTGGGTTTTTTTTTTTTTTTTTTTTTTAATCCAAGTACTCTCAACCTTCTCTAACATCATGTTCAGGGGTAAATTACAAAGACAAACTTATTACAACTGCATTAAACTCTAAATTCTGTTGTGATAGTGATTTTAAAAACATGTGCAAATGTGCTCTGTTATAGATATTTTAGAATTTTAAAATTTATCCATTGTAGTTATGGAATTTTTTACAAAGCAAGTGTTTCGATATAAGGGAGCTGACTGGAAATTTGTCGAAATGTATAATAGCTTTAAATGTTATATGCATTTTATTATATTGTTGCTATATCATAATAAATTTTGTTGAGTGTTGATTGGTTATATGTATTGTGCTGCTTCTTTTTTGTTTTTTTCTTAGGCTTTACAAAAACATGTATACATTTAATTTTTTTTATTATTATTGATTATTTCTTTTAGCATCAAAGAATTCCTCTTCTATGAAGAACTGTTTAATTTTTGTTACTGGAAAAGGATCAAATAGTAAAAATAAAAAGCCCGTGTTGAAGCCATATATAATCAATTTATTGGAAACGAGTAACTATCAGTAAGTAATTGTAATTATTCCCATTTCATTTTGCTTCCTATTTATCAATGTTTTTAAAAATAATAAACTTTCAGTTATTTTAAAAGCTGGCAAAAATCTTTCTTTCTATCCAAGATTAAAATATTCACTTAATATCTTAATATGGACTAAAGAAGTTTCAATTATCATGTTTCTCTTAGGACATTTGTTTTTTGTTTTTATATAAAAAAAAATAAAAACTAATTTATCAAATAATGTAACCCTACTGATTATAGATCTAACATTTATTGACTAATATGGGAGTTGGAATAAGCATTTGAAGTTTTTTCATTTAAATTTTTATTTTCTTCAGATATATCAAAGAAGCAGGAGAAGTAAAAGTTTTTGTTTGAATTCTGACTTCACGGCTGATTGTTCATCTTTCAAATGAAATTTTTAATATCATCAGCAACCAGACTGCATATTTTGATTAATATATGCAGTTAAGAGTGAATTGTTAAAAAAATAATCTTTCCATGGTTTTAAGTTTAGAATTTTTGCTTACAAAGTATTAGTTTTTCAACTTAAACATGGCAGGATTATGCTTGTCATATCTGGTCTTTCTTTTTGTCTAACAGGCCTCAGATATTTTTATGATCATTACGTTCTCAACTTGAATATATAAGGGAAATAATTCATTTGTTTCTAAGACATTTTAGATTGTTTATCTCCAAGTCATTTAAAACAAAAATATACAGATTTTTTAATATGATAGAATTTTTAAACTTCTGTTTTGCTTACAAAAGATTATTTTTCTATGAAATTTGAAAAATAGAAAAAAAATCTTTTAATGATTTTTAAATAAAAATAAATGTTTGTGTTTGAGTAGGAGGAGTTAATGGACAAATAATTATTGTTGGAAGTTTATTTTTTTGTGTAGCCCCTTTGCAAGAGTTTTTGTTGTTTTGGCTCATCTGTCTCCCACTCATTTACAGATATTTTAATGTTTGTACCAGATTATTGTAAGTGAATACGAAGGTGAGCTGAAAAGTTTCTAGCTGACTATTAAAGTGTGATGCTAGAGAAAGAAACAATGCAGTTATTAATAAGAAGAGTTGAAATTAATACATGCAAGATTTCACAGCTCTAGCAATCGCTTCTTCATAGTTAGCCTATGAGCTTTTCAGCACACCCTTGTACCTGGAAAGAAACAAGACGGTTATTAATGAGAAAAGCTGAAATTAATACATGCAAGATTTCACAGCTCTAGCAATCACTTCTTCATAGTTAGCCTATGAAGTTTTCAGCACATCCTCGTATTACAAAATTGAAAGGAACAAACTTCCAACAATGATTCTAAGATATTTAATCAATTACATAGTAGAATAATAATAATAATAATACTGAGTTTTTATTTTAAGAGCAGTTAATGTGACTAAATGAGACTATTCTATATTTTCAAGATATAATTTAAATTGATGTACAAATGTTTAATTCTCACAACTTGTGAAATGACTTCTCGACTATTACCAAATAGAATTATATTAAACTTATATTTTAGCAATATCATCTCCATTTCTATATTCAGTGAAGATTTATCTGAGTAGAATTTTTCTTATATATATATATGGCCTAGAAATTAATCATTAAGTAAAATTTATTTTAAATGCTTTGCTTAAAGTATCTGTTAAATTACTTTGTTTTTTTTCCCCTGCTATTGGGCAGTAATGAAGTTAGAGCCAATTTTTTATATGTTTGAGCAAGACAAAAATAACTTAAAAAAGAATTTATTACTGATTTGTGAGTAAGATTTGTAAATCAATTTTATATTTTTATATTTTACATTCCATATAAACTCATCAAAATTGAGGCATTTTGATCTCTGGGTTTGGAAACCAAAGAAAAATCTTTATTTAAAAAATTGTTTTTCTCTTCATGTAGTCATGGACCAAATTTACAATATGCTTTCATATGTATATAATATGTGCTCATATATCCACACAAAGCTACCTGATATTTTGAGATTAATAAAAAAAATATTGCTCATAACTTATTTTATGCGGCAACATTTAAAAATATGTTCATTTAGTCATTGTTTTAATAGTCATAAAATAGGTACATTATGAACATAAAGATTATTTTATTTTTCCCTTCTTTTTGGGTGTAAAAAAGAAATGTAAATAAAATGGAAGTAAGAGGTAAAAAGGAAAAAATATTATTATCAATAAAGTCACAAATAAAAAGAAAATAAATTTTTTGATTTTTTTTTTTTTTTGGGTGGGGTTCCCCAACTTACCTCTTTATGGTATATAATAATTTTTTTCTTTTTCTTACTTTTCCTCCCACTTGTTTTAATATGTTTGTATATATTATATGAATATGTACTTTTTAAAATGTCAATACTTTTTTTAAAGCCATAAAATTCACCCCCACCACCACAAATTATTAAAATGTCTTCTATTATTTGTTCCATTGTCTAAGTTTTTTGCTGAGTGATAGACTGATAAGTATTTAACCGTCCACATAAGATCTTATATATCCCACCAACCGCAAGGTGTTATTCTAAATTTGTATGCACAGAAATTCAACAATATTCTATAATGTTGAATATTCAAGAATTCTGGATGCTGCAAATAAAAATGAGACCTAATTTCCAACCACGACAAAATACTTGTTCTAAGTAACGCTTGTAAATTCTACAGTATAAATATCTACTCAAAGTATGGGATCTTTTTTAAAAATATTTTAAAGCTTCTACCTTCAATTTTGATTTCTTTTCTTTCTTCTATTGAGTTATGTCCCTTCCCAACATTTCCCCTATTTAGTAAATTGAACATATTCCAATCACACACGCACGATCTCATTCCTACATCTTGTATCATCAAATCAAAGAATGTGGATAATTTTTAGATGTAAGCTTCACCTCAGATTTCCTCCTAAATAAAGATGGAAGAATTTAAAAATTAAAGTTTAAATTAAATCTCAATGTGAGTTTAACTGTCATCATATTTCCTCAGAGCTCAGGAAAAATCTACCTTTACAAGAGTCACTTGCTTTAAAAGAAAACCTATCTTGCCTTACTTTACTTTCTGTTGTTTTTCAAAAAGAAAAAAATTGTCTAAAAATCCATGTTATTGTCATGATTTTTCATTCCTATAAAGACTCTTTGTATAAAACATGTTTTTAATGTTTTTTTTTTTTTTGTTTTTTTTTAAATTATACCAATGTTTCATTCTCAGGGCAGAGTTCATGCAACTAAGTAGGGCCTATTCAAGAAGAGTCCCTTTCACCCTTTTTGAATAAAATTTCATCTTTAATCTACCATCTTCTGAGAATGTAATAGTAGGCTAAGCTTCACTTTTTTTATCTGTGGTATACATATAATTATATATAATTAAATCATAAATTTGAAAGTTTTATGTCTGTTCATTACTGATTAAGCAATAATGTTTCCATCTACTTTTCAAATCAGAACTTGTAAAATCAAAATTGCCACTTTGGGATCTTTTTTTTTTATTCCCATTGTCATTTCCTTTGAGCAAGTTTATTTTTTTCTATTTTATATGTGGTACTATCAAAGTTTATTAGTTATACAACTTACATGGCCTAAAGGGTTAATAAACAAATTGGAAATTATTAGGACTTGAAAAAAATGGCATTTTAAAAGTATATATAAATATATAGAAAAATACATAAAACAGAGGGGGAGGAAAAGCAAGGATAAGTTAAAAAAAAAAAAAAAAATTACTCACTGTAAAATGGTGGGTTGAAAAATATGATTACAAAAAAGAGGTTAACTAGATATAGCTTCTCCCTCCTTAGAGCCAATTAGGGACAAAGACATGAATATGTGCACAATGATTAAAAAAGGAGACAGAAAAACATACTACTAGAGAATCAGCAGTATAAATCACAGGGGAGGCTGCTTAGACTTTATATAAATGGTTTCAATTCTCAGATGCTAATCTAAATGTGCTCTGCTGATTACTGTAGAAAAATCTCTGGTAAACAACAAGGAACAAGTAAGATTATTTGTTAAGTGTTTTGTGATCGCAGAACTAAGTATTGACAAGCGTGTGCATATTTTCAGGCTCTCTTTGATGGATCTTAGCTTTTATAGATTTTGTTTTTATATTTATATATACTTTTTAAAGTTCTAATCAAATTTTATGATCCCCTCCACAGATTATTTAAATTGAAAATTACTTTTAGTAATTATAATAATGATATTGTATTCATGATTATTTATTTTTAAGACACAATTGTAAACTAATTCAAATTTACATATATTTAAGGAACAATTGTAAATTTTTGAATGGATCTAATTATGATTCAAGTATGGTATATATTTTTTCAAATGTTATTAAATTTTTTAGCTTAAACTACTGCAAACGAATTTATTAATTTACAATAAAATGATCTAAATTTATGTTTTTATATTATATTAAAAAATAATTACTTCAGTGTATTAAAAATATGAAAATGTTTCAAATTCTTGAATAATTCAAGTTGACATTTTTTATTTTTTCAAGTGAAAATAAAGCTGAAAAGGAAATTCGATAAAATAGGTTTTTCATTCAAGATCTAACATTGACCAAAAGTGTAGTTAGAAATACTCTCTAAGCTTGTCATGACTATTAATTGACCCTGTTTTTATATGTATAGTTTGCTGACTGCACTAAAGTGATGAGAAAATGTCACAATTCCTACTAATGTATTTTATGTTTCTAACTAAAGAAATTGTTATTGCTTGTCCAAGTAAAAATTGTAAACTTGAAATATTGAACATTTGAATCGACATTGTTTCATCTTTATATACTCATATGTCAGCAATCTTTCATCTTCGGGTCCACAGAAAAAACGCTGTCAAAAGGACAGACTTTCCCCCTTGATACTGCTAGTATTTTAATTACTTTCACTCAAATTCAAACAATTTTATCCATAAATTCATAGACATTTACTAAATTATTAAAATATGTGAACTGTAAGGAAATCCTTATTAATTACCATTTTCATAAAGTTTAAATCAATTGACAATTAACTGATGTTTTGCCAACCATTCCAATGAATAATATAATAGTGTAAATAATAAATAGTCTAAATAAACAATCTAATAAATAGTGTTGTCAATTCTCAAGAACAAAGAAAATCTATAAATTAATTTTCATATGCTTAGGTTTTATTGCAATTCTAATCATCACTTTTTAAAATAATAAACATTGCCAAAGAGTGAAGGTAGTTAAAATAATAGTGGTGTCAAGGGAAAAACCACCCTTTTGACACACTGTTTTTTCGGGAATATGAAGGTTAAAGATTGGCAGTAAGTCGTGACAATTGTCTTTTTATTCTATATCTAATATTGATAATTTCAGTTTCTTTAAGAATCATCTACTTAATTAAAAACTTCAACCTA